CTGTCTTCTCTTTGAGTAGATATATCTTCTTCCTCTTCTTCTTCTTCTACTTCTTTATCGAACCCCCTAAAATTCAAACAAAAAGACTCGAGACCCAATACTCCGGTCCAATTAATAACTCTCACTATTCTCACAAGTGTGACAGTCAGTACACACCTGAAACGAGTTCAAGTTCGTTCAACTCTATCTATATTTCTTTCGATACTCTCGCTATGGGTTTTTATACAGTACCTGATCCCAAATATCGAGCATTGAAGTTCGGGAATCGGGTCATAGGGGAAATTCTGTACGTGCTTAGATCTTCAATATTCCTGTATAAAAAAGATTACATACATTTCAGTTAGAATGTAGAAAGTCATACAGTCTACTACATGAACCAAGGACTACCAGCTATGTGCCTCTCTTGGAAAATAGCACATTGATCTTATCTTCTCTCTACAGCATCTTTTGCCTTCCATTTTAGACATTAAAACCAGACAGGAGATGTCGTTAATGCAATACAAAACAAAAACGGCAATACAAAGAATGATCTCGAGAACAACAGTAAAAACAAATTGTGACAGCGATTCTTCCCTCTCAAATCCACACCCCACAAACCCACCACTCATCTAAAGGTATAAAAACCATACAATCAGACCGATACACCAATAGATTTGATACATACATACAACCGCCAAAACTCCTGCAATTCTGTATCAAGCTCCCCATGCAACGTTTCTCTTACATCAAAGAACAACGTACGTGTTATATACTATTGTGAAGTCCCGAGTGTTCTGGTGAATCCATTCAGTGAATGAAAGAGATAAGGATTGTTTTGAGGGAAAAATTGTATATTGTATTGTTGGCACGGGGGTGAGAGTTGGATGTGGAGATAGGAATTTATTTATTTAGTGTCTATAAGAATTGAATTGAATCGGATGTGCGATCTGATTTCTTGACGTGCGGGATGTGAAGAAAAGAGAATGTAATCAGGCTTGTTTTTTTTTTCGGTTCTAAGATACCGTCGTTTTTTGCGAACTTCGGGGGTGATGAGAAGATATGAGTTGGGTCGATTTCATTTTTTTTTTAGTTTTCTTTGTCCTCATTTTCTTCTTGTTATGAGTAGAATTTCGTTGTCAAGTAGTTTAAATATCGCGTTTCATGGCGAGAACTTGGAGGTTGATTGATCATATGTGTGTGTGGGGGGAGGAGATTTGAGTCGAAAAATACACACAGCGGTGTTGTATTGAAATTCTTCAACACCTGTAGACACGGGGGTTTGAAGGTATTGATCACTGAATGCTCATATCATGGCCACTATTTCTGATGGTTTGTCCTTATAGATTTGGGGGTTTCTGGAAGACGAGAAGTTATATATCGCTTCACTGATTATGGATAGGTATGGAGTGGAAAGGAAGGGGCATGCACTATCTGAATCATCGATATTCGTTTCGGTTCATTTCTCTATCATACATTCTTGTTTATTATGAGCATGAAACTACTCTCTGCGTTCTAGATAATCTCCTCCCCAAATACCACAAGAAACGATGAATGCTATCCGAGCCTCTGACATCTTCATTTGCAACCTTCTCGTGTAACCTTATCCTAGGGGAGAATCACAATGGTCATCAGGTATGCGAAGCTCAAGATACTGAGCGAGGAAATATACTTTTTGCTGGCTGTTGAATATATGTGATTTGATGATATATATGCACTATCTATCAATACATTCATAACAAAATATATCAGCAGCAACAACAACAGTAGCAAACAACAAGCGCATCAAAAGTCTCTATTCCAACTCCCATCCTCATCACAGATCTACAAATCTACTTCCTGAACCTCTCATTCAATCTCGTCCTCCGAAATCTCGTGTAGTGTATCAAATACGTCATTCTGTCTTCACAAATATTCAAAACTTATCAGCGGTCAAAATGTTTGTACACTGTCACATGCCAAAGAACAATGAATCAGCAAGTTTCTCTACTTGTTATTGAGTATCGAGATGCGTCGAAGTTGGATGTGCTTAGATGAGGAGTAGGAGTCCCATGTATGCGTGAGTATGTTGAAACATAATCGATTTTTGACTATAAAAGTACATCAGGTTGTTGACGTTTTTCTAGGCATCGGATTAGAGTTCACCTAAACTTTGCGAGACAAGGTGCTCGGGCGCTGGTGATTATTTATCTAAATTATAGACTTGCGAATTGTAATGGAAACCCCCCGTCTACATTACAACTCGGCGATATCCATATGGTACACGTACTATAGTCTCAATCTCGAGAGTGAATTAACCCCAACCCGACAGCAAAAATCACGATTATCCAAAACAACGACAACTTGGACGATAGTGATGGCTAACTAGCTTTCCTCTTGTTAAAGATAGAATATTCGAAGCGCAGATTGTGAGGGGATGTTCGGTTTGTACTGGAATGCATAATGATGGTATGGAGTGTTGAGTTTTCTGTGCCAGTTTCTCAGCTCTCAATGGGTGCAATTATGAGGTGCTTATTGTTCTGATACTATATGAGGATGGTGAAGTGGTTCTTATATAGTGGTAGGATGTTTTTTTTTATCTGATCAAGCACATTCACTCATATAAAGAATTTAAGACGGCAGTTGTGTACTATAATTTGATAAGAACCGGTGTGAAAGTGACGGTGTGTTTAGAAATAGATTATGTGGTTTGATTATGAAGGAAATATACTAACTATTTGAGTCTTTTGAACAGTCATATTTTGAATTTTGAGGAGTGAGTGGAAATTAGGAAGTACGCGATGATGGGAAAGTACGAAATGGCTCTTGAGCTGTAACTTTTCTCAAATCAAAAGGTGAGGGACAGATGATAACGACTGCCAATGGCAAAACTTCCAATATTTGACAACAAGTATGTAATAAACTAACAGGAAGCAGACAGTCACCCTAGATATCAAAAGAAGAGAGAAAAGTAAGACTGAAAATAAGTGACTTTCAAGTCAAGAAGACCTCAAAGGAGACTCCTCGAGATAGGTCAATTATCTTAATTTAGTATCATGTTGATTGAGAAAAACTATACCGGATGAACATTTTATAGGGGACATTACTTATTTTGAGAATAGTCCCAGGGAGTGAATGACTTTGATGATTACTTTGAGTTATGAAGCCCTCGATTGTTATAATGTAAGAATATCCAGGTAATTCTCTTTGCAAATGTGCAAGAGCACTCTCGTTTTTCATTTACATCACAAGACCCGTGAAAGAGAAGCTCTCTATCATCGATGAATGGCAAATAAACACACGCGGAGAAGATTGACGCAAGAAAAACTGAGATAGGATTAAATATCATGCAGCAGTAAAAATCCCGAGCCTGGAATATGACGGAGTGGTTAATGGCTGGATAGATTCGAAGGGCGAAGTGAGAAGCAGGATTCTATAGGTACAGAATCACGACAGCACAAGAAAGATAGGTAACAGTGACACTGTGTAAATAGCACTCCCCCTTGACCATATGACAGAGATCGAATATAGCAGCGAGAATCACATGAAAAATACAAAACGATCTCCATGAGTTCCCCAGAATTTATACTAGAAATAACTTGTCGGCAATCGCAAATACCAGATCATTTGCAACATACAAATGGCACCCTGTAGGGCCGCGTCAGGTAGGTTCAATATTGTTTGAAGTGAAGCGGAAAGAAGGTTTAGACAGGTGGTTTTTATACCTTCTCGGATTATGGAAGGTGTTCCTGCTGAGATACAACGTGAGATCAAGTAAGCATATAGGGATCCGAGAGATCAAGAAACATAGCGAGTGATCTCGATTCCGCTTAAAAAGGAAACGAATTGTCGTTAATGTAACAACTCTTGGATACACTCACTTTTAGGTATAGTTAAAAAAAACTAGAACACAGAATCCGTAGGTTTGGCATGGCTGATCGGTTGCGATATTTCTAGCTTCTGAGGTACATGTGGCCGAGAAAACTACTGCGCCGGTTGGATAATAGCAGATGAAGAGGTTCGTGGAGGAATGCATTACTAGTTGGAATATCTAAATCGATAGTATTGAATAATCACTGAAATAGTCTTAAATGTATAGCGATAGCACAAAGATTCGACAGCAAAAACAGCGGCGAAAATGACAAAGAGGGGGAAAGTAGAGGGAAAATAGACCACATTGTGAATGAGGGAATGTGGTTTCTGGCTGCCTTTACTTTTGAACCCACTCTTTCCTGTAGATCGGTCTTACGCACTCTTTGCTTGTAGAACTTGCCGATTTCGTGAACGACTTCATGTAAGTAGATGCCAATATATATAGTAAACTGTTGATGCCAGTTTCACTCACTTTCGCTTAGTAACATCTCCACAGTTGAGTGGAAGTACTTAGGTAGTCACGGATTTGGATCGATGCTAGCTGCAGCTTAATTCATTCGAGTTTGATATGTGTTCCACTTCATGACTTTGAAAATGGTGATGGAAGAAGACAACATGAATTCTTCATGTATGAAGAAAATGGAAAGCAATCTATCGAAGTTTAATGTTCTGGAGCCTCTATTCAGTAGCTTCATTTAAGACGGGTTAGCCTACATCAGGGTTGTACCATTTATAGAGCGGAGCGATCCGCGGCAAACCGAGTCTACCGAGCCAAATTCTTCCCCATCTCAACCTGCCATCTAGGCCCAAATCGTTTCATAATCCAAACAACTGAGAACGCGCTAATCCATTCAACAATGGCTAGTATCGTAAATAGCCAACCGTCTCCAATGGCTTGCAGCAAAGGCTGCGCAATCACTGACCCAACACAGCTGAAAATTGTCCGCTTAAATGTACCCACTGATACACCACTCGAACTTCGGTTTGGGAGAAAATCCGTGAGCCTGTTCTTGAATTAGTTACAAATTTCACAAGATTTTATTAACTTTATGAAGGGGAGATGCTGACATAGTAGTTGCAGTGGAAAATATAATCATAGTTCCGAACCCAAAGAAGAAGTTCACAATTAAGGGGACAATCCAGTGAACCCCCTTCTCCGCGGTCCATCCAAACTATAGAAGACCAGCAGGATAAATAGCAGCAGCAAATAAAACATTCTCTCTCATACGATCTTCCGGTCGGAGAGTAAGTTTTCCAGATTCATCAAATCGCCCTGCAGCACGAGCTTCTCGATGCATGATAGCATCCGACCATTTTCCTCCCACAAAGCCTGCAACAATACAGCCCAGTGAGCCTGGGATATATTTCAGCCCTACGATTACCTCAGAGAAATTATATGGCTCCTCTCCAAATGTCTTCTGTATGGCAATGTTCAATATGTATAAAGATCCAAAGGTTATGCTACCGATATAGACTGTGACCGAGACGGCTGGAAATCGAAGATAGCCTAATATCTTCAGTGGATCAATTATGGACTTTTTTGAAATGACTACCACCCTTTTATTCTATCCTGAATAGATAGTGAAGTCGGTAAGGGAGCAAAACTAGGTCGATGAGGTGTAATGTTCCCATCAGCGAGTTCCTCGAGAACTGGGGCTCGTCTTGCGAGTGTCTCAGGAAGGCAAAATAACAAAAGAATCAATGATACTCCTCCATAGATAGTTTGAAACCATTGGGTACTTCGCCAGCCCCATTTCTCCGCTACTGCTCCACCAATAATTGGTGCTAGAAGCGGCCCCAACATAGGACCCAGGAAGAATATTCCCATCGCACGACCGCGCTCCTTTGGCTCCCAAATATCCGCAATGGTTCCTGCACCGATAGCTAAGACGGATGCCGCTGAACCCCCTCCTAAGACTCTCATTACGATCAGCATTGCCGTTGAGGTAGATATTGCGGTAATAGCACTCCATAATGTGAAAAACGCGAAAGATACCAGGTATATTATCCGACGGCCAAATATTTCCGAGAAGGCAGACCACCAGAGTGGAAATATCGACATTGCTAGAAGATACATAGCCACAGCGAGATTGGTGAGTGTTTTAGAAGCATGAAAGTCTTCCGATAGCTCAGTGAGTGCAGCTGCGCAGAGGGTCAGAACTTATGGCAGCATAAAATGTCGGCAATCGAGTGATAGGGAAGAAATAAGGACCCACGAAAGAATATAGCACTTCCCAGAGGTACCGCAGCACCTGCTACCGCAACAATGAATGTTATAAACCATTTAGTGCCATTTTTATAGGCTTTTGGATGTTCGACTTCTGGTATAATGGTCAATAGCTCAAGTAGTCCTCGCCGTTTCAATAGTGGTACTATCATCACCTGATGGGGATGCTCCGCCGCCGGGCTCAATGCTTCAATCGGAGAAGTTTCTGGACGCACAGGAGCTGGACTGGTAGACTGGTTGAACTCCTTGTTTGACTCTATATCTCGGGTAGCTGTGGTTTTGAATCGTGAATCTCCTGAGGGAGTGCTCTGTTGGCCTCTGACCTTTTATCATCTACTACCATCTTGCTGTACACAACACAGACCAAGCACATGCAGTTAAAGTCAAGCTTCTGTCCAAAATCGTAGGATTGAGACAATTTTGGTAGATATCTGAATGGGAATACAATTTTTTTGTTGAGGAAACAAGATGCTTGTGATGAAGAATAAACAAAGAGGAGTGAATGGAGCGAGCTCAAAGGGCCATTGAAGTAAAACTCATTCCATGCATCCATACATCAATGAGCCCTCAGCTTTGAATATCTCGGTGGGGACGGGATAATTCCATGCCGCGAAGCAAATATACCGATAAGTTTAAAGCTTACGAAACTCGGAGGCCCTTCCGTTGACAAATATTATAATTTCGGAAGCTCCGATGATGTCGTCGGGCTCAATCTCGGAAGCTATTCCGAAGTCATCTAATCTTGTTTCGGAAGATCATCCGTCGCCTTCGAGTTTCCCCGTCTCGGTCTTTCAGTTTAGTTCAGGAAAACCGGGAGTAATGTGCTCTTTTGATATAAGAAGCACTCTTCGGTAGTCTGTAGAATTTTTTTTGACTCACTATAAATACACCATCCCCGAATATTCATCACATAAAGTTCTCAAACTTTCTGCAATATCTAATTCATCGGTTTAAAATATGGAGAACGTTCTTGTTATCGGAGCCACTGGTAACATCGGTGTCGCAGCAGTACTCGGAGCCTTGTAATCTAAGCCTCATGTGCTTGCAATAGTGAGGAACCAGGCCTCTGCGGAAAAATTATTCAAACATGTGGGAACAAAGAACGGCATCACAACAGTCGAGGCCGACATTATGTCGGAAGGAGGAGTACAAACTGTCGTGGACCAAGTCCGGGCTGGGAAACTGCCAAGTTTCCAGCACGTTTACTCTGCTGGTGAGATTACAATACGCTTGGTTTGTCCTTTGCTAATTCTTGATGAAGCTGGAGGTGCATACGGTGCAACGCCTTTGACTGAGTTAAGCCTCAAAGAATTGCGTCAGATTATGAGTGTCAACTTCGAATCAAACTTTTGTAGGATCTCTATAATTTTAGCAGCAGCATTGGTATATCCACTAACTTTCATAGTCGCTTACCGTGCGACCATCCCATATTTGCTAGAACAAAAGAAAGCAACTAGCTTCACACTCTGTACCGGAGCACAGGGTGACATTGGCGCTCGAGCAGCACCCGCTATCTCACAAGGTCCTCTCTTCTCGATGGCTAACGTAGCCTGCCGTGACAATACTGATTTGAGCATTCGCTTCAACGAAGTATATCTTAATTGTCGGGTTGAAGTTGATTCATCGGCCGCTCAAACGGGAGCAATGAAATCATCAGATTTTGCTCATGTTTATACGGAACTACTTTCCAGACCGGAAATCAAGAGTTCTCGCATAATTGTATCCATGTATGATGATCTGAAGGATTTGAAGCACAAGATGAAGATTATTTGATGCGACTTCCAAGCATCGCTTGATCTACCTAGTAGAATCGATAGATCTCAAAAAACTTTTCCTAGTGTAGCTAATTATGAAAGCATGAATTGGTTGGATGCGAGTTCTCCGAGAAGTGTTGCATGTGAAAGATTTCTGTCTGAGAACAACGGGGAAAGAATGCAGCAAATCTTGTCGTTTAGGCGTGGATTTGGGCTATCTTTTGGCCGTCTTGCTTCCGGTTGCTTTAATAAGCTTCGGATCGCTTCCGTGATTTGGTGCCGTGTTTTTAATGCTGAGTCAGATACAATGTGAGAATTAAAATACTGTACACATCATAAACTTGAGATACAGCATCAAAGACACTTCACTGGATATCACACTTGACTTTTCAATTCTAAAGCTCAATCAAGAACCTTTGTCACGTGATAATAGAGCGCCCCTGCTTCAATCCATTCTGTTGCTCATCACCTCCATTGTTCAACGAGGTGAATCGCTTGACCGATCTGAACCTCTAATACTATTATATCAGAATTTGCAGTGAAGCTATGGATACCCGAGTACCAAAAAGGCAGAAGATGACAACGGCTTGTGCTTCCTGCCGAGGCCGGAAGGTAGCAGCAGTTCCAATGTAGATTGTAATGACATTTACTAAATTCAGTCGACAGATCAAATGTGATGGTCATCAACCAGGTATTACCCGCCGACTAAGTAACAAATTTCCAACGTCACTTATACGTGCTAATCATTCCATTCTCATAGTGTGCGGACCATGTGAGAAAAGGTCCAAGTCAGTTTCTTGCACTTGGGCCACGGACTTTTCACGTGCTTCATCAGCATCTACAGATTATATCAGACGTCTCGAAGATCAAATCAAATTACTGGAAGCACGCAACAGACAAAGTTCTCAGATCTCACCCAGCAGCAACCTAAGTTCAAATAGTGCTTCCGAAGAATTATCAGTAGAGACAATAAGTAGTCATGGAGCTACTACTTCAGTTTCACCTGCATCTGCGACGTGGCTTTCTACAATTTCGTGGGAGGGATACCCGTCAGTATATACGCCGGAGATGAGCACCAATCAATGGCAGCCTAATTCGGCTTCCACATTCAGCCCAGGACTAGTTCCTTCATTTCAAGAACTCTCAAAAAGCATTGATGCCGTGTGCACCTCTGGCAATTATCTCAGCCATAACAACGTGGTTGGACATAATCACAGGACCAATGTTATCGACAAACCCTTTGTCCGAAAATTCATGCAGGAAGTGGAGAAGTTAGTCATAGAGAAAATCGGTGATGCATCAACACATGCATCAAATATTCATGGCTTTGATCTTAACATTTCCTCATCTCGAATACCAACTCATGAATCACAGCAAATGAATCTGGACTACACTTTACCAACTAGGGAGCAAGCCGATAGCCTAATCACATTGTATTTTGAGAACTTCCATGTTTTATATCCATTCTTGGATAAATTGGAGTTCCGACAAGAGTATGAGAAAATTTGGAGCTGTGACAACTATAAACTTGATCAAGGATCGTTGGTTTGTCTAATAAACTCGGTATTCGCTATCAGCAGCCGTCAAACGAGGACAACAGTTTCAACCATGAGGATATGGCTGCCATCTTTTGCAGAAGAGCACAAGGATTTCTCAACATCCAAGAGTATTCAGTCCGTTCAGTTCAGTCATATCTTCTCTTGGTCTTATATTTTCAAACCATGGGCGAATCTCGCACGTGCTGGTTATATGTTGGAAATGCAATACGCACCGCTCAGATGCTTCAACTTCACTTACCCGAAACAAGCGAACGAATAGTCAAAAGCCAGGCTAGAAACTAGCTTCGTAAAGCTTGGCATGCTTGTGTTATTATGGATAGAGACATCTTAATGTTGTATGGCCGACCATCTATGATTGATCCACAAGCTGCTGCTGCTATCCCAGTCCCCTTGATTGTGGAGGAAGATGACTATCAGCCAAGACACAATGAAGAGGACACCATTGGAAGGCCTCAAGCTTCTATCGCTGATTTTTATAAGTCTTATATAGAACTTTACAATATTTTGTATGCCATACTCCTCGATTCATAATATAGTGAGTCTAACAGAAATGTGAAGAAATGGCATTACACTTCCGAGAATGTCTCGTCTCCTGGAACGAACATTTCCATTCCTCAATCTACAGGAAAAGCTTTCAACTTGGGAACAAAACATTCCTGATCACCTCAGAATTGAGCAGCATCTCACATACAACGATCTAAACGCTGTATCGACCCGTCGAGCAGTAGTTCTTCACCAAAGGTACGAACTCAGATACACGCACAAGCGAATCATAAGGTGAAGCTAACAATATTCCAAGATATCTCCACGTCCAATCATTATTGTTGACGCCTATTCTTCAACAACTCATTGGCGCCGAGTTTCAAAAGAAAGCAGAACGTATCCGTCTTGGAAGTTTACTCTCTCGTCGAATCACCCTACAATGTGCAATTGTATGTGTCAAGATTGCGCAAGAAGCTATTGATACCGTACACATTCGCGAAAATTCGGATTTGAATGAGATCTCCCCATGGTGGTGCAATGTAATATTCTTGTATAAGTCTGCAACGGCATTGATCGCAGGAAGTCTTTGCCCTTCTATCGTGGCTGAGATATCAGAAACTGCAATTCATGAAAGTTTCCACAAGGCCACTTTAATTCTCAGACAATACACTACTTTCAACCCGTCAATCCTCCGTCTAGTCACTATACTGGATATCCTATTCCAGATCGTGCCTCAAAAATTCTCCCGTTTGAAGAACGCCTCTGAACGGATTGAAGCCGAGGCCGGGCCACCTACTTCTGACGAAAATTCTAGCGCGGCAACGTTTCAATACTGGTGTCCCATAAAACCAATCCGTCATGCCGCATCTGCTCACCAAGATGCTGTGCATCCTAGCCCCGAAAATAGTGGTTCATCTCAGATTCTCACGGATTTGGATCGGCTTTTTGACACGGACGACTTTAAATGGCTCACTAAGATGCCTTTTGATACTTAAGGAAGTCCTAGTATTCGAGTTGATGGAACAATTATTCTAGAATAGAAAAATCACACTAAGATAATGTATGCTTAGATACGTAGCCATAAGAGGCTCGAAACGGTAGAATGAGCAATCGATCTAAGATAGATGTGCCTTCTCACCAATAGTTGTGAATGGTTGTTTTCGTATGCCTTAAAGGGAAACAAGCAGCATAGCCGTGAAGTATTGATACCTATCCTCCATCCCAAAATGAAAGTGGGTGGGCGTATCTCGATTCTTTTTATGGCGTCTAGCCAAGCATGCATATCAGTATAGGGTTATCCACATGTGTTCCTTCTTAGATTTTTCATGTATGTATCGACAGTTATTGATCCATATGATCATGTATCTCTCATATCGTCTGGTTTTCTCATACTCTAGATTACTTCTGGCAACAATGCATAACACACAACATGATAGATTTCAATAAACTTCCGCAAAAACTCTCAGTATAATATAGAGGTTTGATGTATTTAGGTAGATCTTATCATTCACTCGAACAATTGAGAACTTTCTGTTGAATATCTGCGTTGTCCAAAACTTGACTGCACAATAATGCTGCTAAGAATCTCAACCTATAACATGAGACGAAAACACGCGATATTTTATTCCTTCCAAGCAGACGAAAATATGCTAATATTCTTAACATAGCGTGATGTGTTTCCAAAAGTAAAATGTACAATGATATATTTCCCCTTCCCCACAAAAATCTACAACTTACTCCCCACCAGACTCCCTCCATCCAACGGGATCGTCGCCCCATTAACATAACTGCCCGCCTTACTAGCCAAGAACAAACAAGCACCTGCGACATCCTCCTTACTTCCGATTCTCCCCAGCGGAATCCCACTCACAATTTCGTCTTTAAAATTCTTAAGCGTAGCTGCCATCATTTTACTTTCAAATGGTCCACATGCAAGAACATTACTGGTGATATTTCTCTTCCCTAAATGATTCGCGAGAACTCTGCTTAATTGATGTAATCCTGCTTTACTTGCCGAGTATGAAAAGGTTTCGAGAGAAGGGACACGAATTCCATCTACGGAGCCGATGTTGATGATACGTGCTGGGTCCTCGGGAGTAGAAGCTGCTTCCATAAGAGGAGTAAGCGCTTGAGTAAGAGTAAAGACTCTTGTGAGATTAAGAGTCAAAACTCTCGTCCACGCCGCGTCGGGGAATTCCGCATAAGGAGCTCCCCAATTGCTTCCAGAATTATTGACCAAGATATGTAATTTCGATTCTTTCTTTTGTAATTCATCGACCATGCGCTTGCAATCCTCGAGTTTGTAAAAGTCGGCTGGGATGGCGTGTGCGGAACCTTTGCCTGTAGGAAAGAAGTATTAGCTTGCGTGTTTCGCACAAATAGAGAGATGTTGAGGCACCTACCTAGCGCATTCAATTCTTTGCAGGTTTCTTCGCAGGCTTTGGCATCGCGGGATGAGATGTAGACTTTGGCTCCATTTGTGACGAAGCCTTCGGATATCATTCGTCCGATTCCCTTTGCGCCGCCGGTAACAAGAACGACTTTGTCCTATTTGATTTGTAAGTTTATGGATTACAGAAGGTGAGAACTTGATTGATTACCTTGACGTTGAAAAGATTTGCGGCATCCATGATTATTAAATGATTTTGAAGTATTATCTTGCGAAAAATGAGGAAAGGAATGATTCGAAGTTGGTGATCAAGGAGGTCGAGAGGAACCACATCTTTTATCGTGCCGAGGTTGTGATGGAAATGGAAATGATGGGAACCTTAAGCTTTGGTGTGGCGTAAGAGTGTTGTTTTTATGCTAGTCCACGGGTAGGGTAAATTATATGCTTGTATGGTAGGTAATTATGATAATATGGGAAATAAAGAGTGATTGTGATTTAGAGCGTATCTGGGGTTAAGGTTGCCTGAGCCTCGGCCTTACTAATAGGACCTGGCTCGTCTGGGTACTTATTAGCGCCACAGTTGCCACAAATGACCCCACCACACGCTATACGAGGTATCTATGTTCTCGTCATTGTTTTTTTTCTAGACGTTACCTAACATCTGAGTGACCGGAAAACTTATTCACTAGAACTAATTCACTACACGTCGCAGTTTTAATCAAAAAGACTTGTATACAAGATTATAACGTTAGCATCAAATAAGGAAGAAGATTGAAGAAAAGAGAATAAACATGGCACCAGAACTCAGTTTGTCCGGTAAGCCGAACTTTCCTGAAAAAATCGAAATGGTACTAAACAGACAGAAACACGCGCTCTCCTGAAAGCCCAATTCGAAGGTCAAGATCCGGCTCAGCACGGCGAGAAATGGGATCAGCTCTGGAAAGATAATGTGATTCCATGGGACAACGAATCACCCAATCCAGCACTGATTGATATCCTAAATGAGCGGGAAGATCTAGCTTCGAAGAAAGCTGATGGCACAAGAAAGAAAGCCTTGGTAGCGGGATGTGGGAAGGGATATGACGTTTTGCTGTTAAGTGCCATGGGCTATGATGCTTATGGGCTGGATATTTCCGAGACAGGTTTGCAGGGTGCTAAGGACACCGAGAAGGAGAAAGATGGGAAAGGTCTGTATGAACCGAAAGACGGAATCGAGAAAGGAAGTGTTACGTGGATAGCCGGAGACTTCTTCAAGGATGATTTCTTGACAGTCGTCAATGGAGAGAAAAGCTTTGATTTGATCTATGACTACACGGTATGTAATTCTTTGGGTTTATTATTGTCAAGAATACTAAATCTTGAGAAAGTTTGGTTGTGCATTACCTCCTAGTCTAAGGCCTGCATGGTCTAAACGATATCATGAGCTTCTATCTCCAGAAGGAAGACTTATCTGTCTCGAATTCCCCACTACTAAATCTCCATCAATTGGAGGACCACCATGGGCTATGCCTCCAAGAATTTATGAAGGTCATTTGTCTCGTCCAGGTGAAGTTTTGCCATATACTGAGGAGGGCTGTGAGTTAGAAGTTGAGAAACTTGGCCTACCACACAAGAATGGCCTTCGACGTATCGCACACTTTCACCCTAAAAGAACCAACAGGGGTGGATATGATGCAGATGGCAAGATAAACGATTGGGTCAGTGTTTGGTCGCACTAGATAGAGTCCCGCCTATGATTAGAATAAGAACTCAAGTGTCCCTTAGTTATGGTGTTTTTATGGTGCTCTTCGAAGGGAGTTATAGTGTTCGCCCAATCCAAATCCGTGTCGATAGTATGCCAGATGAATCGTCTCGGGTTTGTCTGTTCCAGGCTCAATCTTCTGGGCAGCTCCGTTTTGTAAAACACAAATCTCAACGTTGTATGTCTTTGCGAGAGCAAGAAGTTCCAAATGACCACCCCATTCCGCAGTATCTCTAATTTTGTGAATATAATTCTCGAGAGGTTCGTCTAAAAATGGAACAAAATCATCTGGGTGTCCTTCGATATATGTTGCGGCTGCTTTGCGGACCACTTTGTAGCGCTGATCGTCCTTCAATCCTTCTGCTTCGGCTCCAAGAGGTATTCCAGCTTGTGATAATTGATCGGCTATGGCAGAGAAAAGGCAATGTCCATCGGGTCTGATTTGTTTCTCCTGTAAATTTCTCGAGGCGAATTCCTCCTGCATTCGTTTCCTCTCTACTTCTTTTTCATCAGGCATATTCGCGGCTTCTTTCTTAGCTTCCTCTATAGCAGCTTCTTGTTCTGCTGCTCTTCGTGCAAGCCTTTCCTTCTGTCGATTGCGCTTTTTAGGCTGTCCTGATTCAGATTGTGTTGTTTCCGCAATTGTGGATTTCTCTAAAGAGTCGGTAATATTGTTGACACCATTTACATCAGTCGCATTCACAGAAGCTTCTGAAGCTTCCTCGTCAAGCTCTGGAACATCATCGATATCTGGAACATTATCACCATCCAAAGATGCTATCTCTTGAGCTTGCCGTTCCTTCAATTGTCGTTCCAGTTCCTCACATTCGTTGTTTACACCTTTGCGAGTCTTCTTCGATGCGCCTTTCTTCTTTTGTGTTATACGTCCTTGCAGGTCTTTTTGCTCCTTACGATGTCGACTTTGCATATCCTCGAAGCTCTCCATCTTAATTCCGTGTTTTAAATTTTGTGGCAGGTGTTGTGTTGTGGTGAAATGAGGGGTAGATCTTATAATTATCGAGACCGGCTGGTTGGTTGAGCTTATGAGCGAGACACACCCACCACCACTTTTTAACCCGGATACCAAAAAATTACGATTTGACACGGCCGGGAATAAAGTCCGAAAAGTGCTCTTATTCCCAGTCGATACAATTTTTAATAATTTTGTCCCCAAATTGAGAGGTGTAGTTGAGAAAGGTGAACAATTTTTCAGACGTGCAACAAAACGAAGTTTGGTCAGTCTCCCACGTGATTGAGGGATTTGATTATTGGACCAGATAGAAGAGCGATGACGTAAGGGTACCATCATTTCGGTCCAGTTGATCAGAAATCACGACCAAATGAAAACAGTCCTACACAATGATTCTTTTATTTATCTTCATACTGTATTTTTTTCAAGCTACTTGCAAGGCGGTTTGTCACTTTGTTAAGTTCGATATTTTGAAAGCAATCGAGAGACTGATGTGGAAGGGGACATTTGTTCCATTACATTTCCGCCTGTTTCTTACCTAAGCAAGTAACTTATGCTCCAGCAAGTCTTATATCACCACTTCCAACCACTTTGAATCGAAGTCCATGTTCTTCTTCCAATGCTAACAACACGTCGGAGAGTACCCCGCCACAATAATAGCATGTAGCTTACATAGAAACAAATATAAGTTTCCACATAAACGAATTAACCCAGATGTCTGTCACCTATCCCATCAAAATTCACCCTACGCACTCGAAAACTCCATGAAACCTTCCGTCGCACCCTCACCGCCGACTGCAACAGCAAAAAGAGTAGCCCCTTCTGTCTTACTCAGGTTTTTCCAAGCATGCCATCCCCCCCGTTGAATAACCACATCTCCCTTTTTGACAATCCTTTTCTCCCCACTATTGGTCGAGTACTCTAATTCGCCCTCCGCTATATGTACATAATCAAGCGTATGCGTACGATGCATAAACCCCTCGGTTCCATTGGAATTAGGATCGAAGTGCAAAAATGCAGCTGCGCTACCACCAGCTGAAGGAAAGGTGACTATTTTCTCTTGCTTGGTGATTTCTTGGTGTGCTTTGAGGTCGGTTTCATCGGTGAGTGAGGGTGTAGAGGTCGCAGAGTAGGCGTATCTCAATGTCAAGCCGGGATGTGTCGACTTCGTTACAAATGAGGTGGAATCAACAAAGGTGGTGGTTTTTCCATCAGGAGAATTGGTGGTAACGTAACATTTGTTATCAAAATCTGGGGTGTACGAAGACATGCTGAACCGATCTTCCTAGAAATTCTTGAACCTGAGATATCTAGAGCAAAGGCTTGCTCTACTGGGAGTTAATTTATTTTGATGTCGTGGGCTTATGATTAAACAAGTGGGAGAAGGTGGTGATATATGTTCAACAATCAATGAGCTGATGTGCTGTGGTGGACCTACCTATCGTGTATTTGTTTTATAGTCGATAAATTTGTAAATCACTCACTATAACGATTGGTGGATTTTGATGCCAAATCCGAAGAGACGCTACCGTTAATGTTGTCGAACGCTGAAGGATTCGTGCTTTCGATATTGATTGGATTGCCGGTGATATGCTCATTTCGCTTGGTGTTCTGGTTGTGAGGATTGTTGGCAGGTTAAAACATACATGTACTTTCGCCAATCAACGAAGCTTTAGAGGGGTTTCGATATCCACAGCCAAATTCATGGCGAATTAAGGAGATCAACTTCTCATGGTTGTATGACAGCGTCTCTTGGAAAAGAAATAGTTTTCCAGAAAGAGCAAGCAAATATACCATCTGACACACGAAAAATTCTGTCAAAAGAGCTATGACAACTTATCTGAGCCACTCAATGTTGATTCATAACTGGTAATGAACGATCTCACTGAAAATTGACCGGTGCGGGGTAAACAATCACCACTCTTGCACTCATCAATTCTGTGGAAACCATGAATCCTTCATTCGCCCAAAAGACACGAAAATTCTGAAAGAAACAAAAACCCTCAACACTAGTGGCAGAATCGTCTATAACAAAAGTAGTTGTAGGATTCGCAGGATCTTAAATAGGCAGCTGATTTGTGCCTCGTTGTCTCACCGTTCTGTCTCATGAATCTTTGTACTATACACACTCGTGTGTGAATTGAAGAGGTGTGAGTGAGCTAAACTCACAGCAATTTGCAAAAGAAGACAAGTCAGTCATAAGCTCAATTGGTTGATGAACCTTTCGAAGTTGTATTCTACCTCGTATGGATGATATGGATGAAGTCGAGAAAGATATGCGTGTCGTGCTTAATCAGCATTAAATCGTGACACCAGACCTCGCTCATTTGCAAAAATTCTCTACATTTTCATCTCGATGTTCAAATCGACACAATTGATGAGAGCTAAGCTACAACTTTAAGAGTAACACCATGCAGTCCATACGCAAATATGCCAGGCATAACAACAAGTCAATGAGAGAGTAGTGGAGTAACTGATTCTGGCAAATGACTTCATTTTATCAGCGCGATGTCATATGTTTTAAAAAGTGTCAGCTCCTACACTCGTTGGCTACTCCAATTGATTGGCTATAGGCAAAATATGATAGAAGCTTCTGATACCTCCATGAATACTATCAGACTTTGCTCTGACAAAGTTGTCTTTGGCACAGCTTCTGGCTGATGATTCTGATTCCGAAACCATTAGAAGGGCTGGAACCCATCCATTATCTGGCGCGAGGAATCTTTTATAAAAAGTTTATCTCGCACTTCAACTGGTCTTAGAATTTTCATTAATGCAACTGGCTCTCCTGGGACTGTACCTTGGATCAACATTGTCCACTGCTATTACCTTTTTAAAGTTCTGTTGAAGTTTGCTTGCTGGAGACTTATCCACCTATCGGCCTCCTTTCCTTCGAACCTTATCTGCACCTTCCAAACAAGTTTATCTATTGTTATGTTTTGAGTTGGTGCAGGTTCTGGTACATTCTGATATGGCATTCATATTGGTATTGTCGGTTTCTTCTGCGCTTTCACTCGGCTTGTAGTTTATTTGTATCAAGAGTCGAGGAAATTTTCAACAGGTTTCTAATATTTTGGATATATGCGGTTCTTGTTTGAAGAGAATTCCTGGAAAGCGATAGATAAAAGCTCATGTGCAATCTTTGCTTTTATTTTGAATTCCATGGTCTCAGGAGTCTACAGGTACTGACACTGGAAAAACCAAGTCTAGAAACTTTTTCTCCCTTATATATGGCTTCGAGGAAGATACTGCCAAGAGATTAGACCCCCTCGGTGCCCTCCCCGCCTCCTTAAAAGAGGACTACATAGCTCCACCCCCAACTTGGCAATCCCTAGTTCATGTCTCCACTCGTTCTCAGATATTTTCAGATTCCAGCTTCCGGGGCCTAAAAAGTTTGGTACCGTGATCGTTATGGACAAGGTATGGGTATTGAAGAGGAAAAGGAGGATAAAGTTGATCACAAAAGAGGTGGACATAACGGGACACTGGATGAAGTTTGAGGTGAAGGATTAGGTTAATGAGCTTTTGGAAGAGGTTTTCAGAGGAGATTGAAATGAAGAGATCGCTGGAGAAGAATGAGATGTATTCCGTTGGGGATCAAGAATTGAAAGCGTATCTGAGAATGATTGAATCAAAAATTGAAAATCGAGTTTGTTTTTTTAGTTTTTTAGTTTTTTATGGTTTATGTGTTCTGTTGATTGTTTCTATTCTATGCCTATCTCTCCATCTTTTAACAAATGAAATTCATGACGATGCTTGCTATAAATGATTGTTGTTGGTTTCCCTTTCCTACCCCCCCTCTTCCGAGACCCAATATCTGCAATGTCCAAACTCCAAAATAAATTCACCTATCCATGTCCGAATGAAAACCCAACCCTCTCCTCAGATTTACCCTTTTGACACCCTAGACCTCCATCATACCATCCCGACTTAATCTCTTTCCCTGCCAAACCTTCATTCCCGCAAAGTAAGGACGGGAAGTATCAGCTCCGTTACTGGCGTAGAAGGTTTCGAATGCGGCGATCTCACTGGGATGAATATAGTGAAAGAGCAACATCATGTTAAGCATCAACACTCCGTCGAAGATAATCAGGAATACCTCATGACTTCTAATGAGCCCAGTGGTGCCTGTCAAGTTCTCTACCAAGCGGATTAAAGATCGAATGGCAATAAGAGCAGAAGCGATGTAAGAGTTGTAGCCTCAGCTTATCGCACACTAAACGAAAACACACCAAAAACCCTCATTTCTTCAACTTTTGAATTATATATTATTTCAATCAAAAAATGAAATGAATCTTTTGAATAGATATTTAGAATAGTGATTTAATAAAATAATTTAAAAAAATAAATAGAATATTTTTATTAATTCTTTTAAAGAAATTATAGATCTTTGAAATCAAAAATTTCAAAAATTTCAAAAAAATCGATTTTTTTGTATAGCAAAAGTGTTATATATAATAATTTTTAAAAAATTTCAATTTTAAAAGTCAACAATTTTTTCAAAAATATTATTAAAAATATTCTAATCATTTTTTTAAATTTAAAATACTAATATCTTTTATATATCAAATTTTCAAATCAATAATTCAATATTCAATGAAATAATTAAAGAAATTAATTTATATAGAAAAACAGCTTTTTCGCAGGGATTTTGTTACGAAATAAGGTGGTGTGCGATAAGCTGAGGCCATAACTCTTACATAGCCACGAGATGTCTCATGTATGGGATATTATTACGGGTTGACTTTGGTTCCACGGTTCTGGTGATGCGCTCTGTGGGATTCTGCGAAATATTGTATTGGAACTTCGCGACTGTGAAGACAAAGATGGCAAGGAAGACTAGTTGTTCGCCCAAACCCATCATGACAAGTCTGTTACCCAGTCTGATCCAACTGACAGGCAAATTAGTCATGAGGCGAAAGATGGAACCGACGATGAGGATGATGACGGAGAAACAATCGAAAAAGAGGAAGATCTTTTGGAATCTGCTTAGGCGAATTTGAGATTGTGGTTCACCGCCGACGGCTTTGACGAGATGCTCATAGTACATGTAGACTGCTGCTGCCATGATGGTTGGAGACACGAGAATACAGGTGTATTGAATGCCGAAAGGAATAACCGAGAAAGTTGGTGATTCGAAGTGTGAGATTAAGCGGCACGCATAACCGATTGCTTCGACTTTAATAGATGTCAGTACAATAGCTTCACTCTGGGTTATTTAGTGACTTACGTAAGCCTCCAACTGCAATGGGGATGAAGAACTTGGTCTTTGATCGCGAAATTTGATATGTGTGTAGAAGTGTTGACTGGACGAAAATTGCTGCGAACATAGCTGCAACTGCCATGCTTGGCACATAGCAGTAGTATGCACATGATTCTAGAGTTGTTGTAGCCACCATGATTGCGATTATTTGTGTTATTGGAGTATGAATCTGGGGAAGTGGAGAAAGATTCGGAAGTTATAATGAGGAATTAGATATCATATGGATAGTATGTATAGTATGATAAGATGTGGTGTGAAGATATATTTTCTCGAGAGAAGACCCCTCATCTATATACCAACACATAGAATCCATCATGATAGCAGTCGCACATTATGTTGGCATTTCGAAAAGACCGTCTTATGTCGAAACACAATACCATTTCCTGGCGTCCCATATCTAGAATTAAAATAGCACATCTTGGCCACAGCAAGGAAAAGTTTAAGGATATCTTGAATCAATCAAATCGCTTCGCATAACGCATAGCGAAGTTTAACAGGGAATTTAGAGTAGTGCTTAGCTTAAACAGCCCAAAGTGGGGACTTCCAGAACCCCGAATACGCAAATGCGAAAGTTTAAATTCAATTAGCGTGTACCGCAGCGATCCTCTAAAGACTTTCTCAAGTTTCATAGGGCTTAATGGAATTTGATCGACAGCTGTCAATTTGAAACTCCAATCTATAACCTCCGACTTTCATCTTATCATAGATACATTTTGTCGATGATCCAGTGGCTTGGTGATATTGATGAAATGAGGGGAAATAAATTTTGCAAACCTGGCAACGTGTGGACAGGACGGTAAAAAAGAGTAGGTACACAGAACTTTCCAGACTTTTGGTGCAAAGTCTCGTCAAGCATTGGTTACAAGGAGATGTGCCTGTACTGCAGAACCATTGAAGAATCCTCAACGCTCCCCCAATACATGGTGAGTGGATCTACCCCATAGCCTGCCTTTATGTTTGCTTTGTAAAATCCAAACTTTTTCGACGAAATCAGAGACCCAGCCCTAGGTCCCCACGAATATCTAAGCTGAGGGCACCCAGTGAGCTTATATTTGCTGCGCTTCCTTTTGGTGGGCTTCCATTTCTCCGTGTCATGGCAGCAAGGACCCAAAAAACAACTATTTGATCCATTGCTTGTTATCAGGCCCCCTTTTATATATCTATATCCGAAAACTGCGGATGGCTTATTTTGTGGGTCTACTCAATCCCAACGTCTCAAATGTTCAAATTCAAGACGGCCGTCTGGGAGTTCATCTTCTTCCCAACCTGGGACAACCCTACAAACTTGTATGCAATTCCTCGGATCGAGAATCAACCCTTTGAGTAGCAGCATGCGCTCTTGTCATCAGCGGTAAATGTGATTTCGTAGTAAGGTTGATCTCGAAACATATGTCGATCTTTCGCTCGATATCTGCGGTGATATAGAGGCTCTACCTGACAGTCTTCATGAAACTTTGCAATGATCAATGCGTCTTCATCAAAGTCTTGGATGGAGAGATGATTGTTTCGTCAAAGTTGTGATGGCCGTCAGTTTCGCTAGTCTAGGAAGACAAAACCAATAGTTTGATGATCAATCAAAGCTGCACCATACAATAGCCATGAACCACACACTTACATGGTCTGCTTGGCCGATTGAGTATCCCCATTTGTCACGAGTGTTCAAGATTATAGGTGTGCCATTCTTATTTCAGAGATAGAACCTACAGCTAATATCTTGTGATATGTTCAGAAGAATGCTCCTCAAGTAAAGCAGATCATCACTACCTCACCCTTTGCCTCGATTAGAGATCTGTAAAGGGGTCTTAGAATCAAGCTATATATAGAATGAGAAGGTTTGAAATTCACTACCTATGATTTTGCAGCGAATACCCACATGAACACCAATCGAAGAGTGTGTCAAAAGCTTTCGCTTAAAAGGCAGCATAGGACTCTACGAAAGAATTGACGACCAGCTTCAGTCTGTCTATTATCCGCTATATTATGGCATACAGAGAGAGTGTGCAGAATGTCACATCGCTTGACAATCGTAATGCTTCATCGCAGATATTCATCTCTTCGATTGGTTGGATAACATTGTCTAAAATATCAATTTCTTTGGCTGTGCTGGTATCCATGATGTGGGAGAACTTCATGATCGCGCTTGTCTGAATCACATCTCCTGTGGCGTAGGCTTCAATATGATAGGATTTCAACGGTTTTGTTTTAACTCAAGTCCACAGTTCGCTAGCTAATTTCGTGTTAGCTACTCCACTTGAGCTAAGCATACATTTCTGTTTGCAAATTGTACAATAGTAGCAATAGCAGATTTCCGCCGCGGCTGCTACGAATTCACGAGAACGAATTTTATAAGTTGATCCGACCTTCCTATGAGCCAAGTGTCATGACAGGAAACTTCACCTCACTTCTACTCTCTTTCGCCAACGTCTGATCGACCTGCCAGGGTGTCTGTGGCTTTCCTTCTTCAAATACTCCTCCAACTGGCCTGTAATTAATATAAAAATGAAATGATCCCAATTCATGCAGCAGTCTATTCCACTCTCCACTTGCGTTTTTCTTTTCCAAGTCGATTGACAATTTCATGAGAGTTCTGAATCCGTGTTTTTGATAGAGACTGCGGCCGTTGTCGGATGCCTGAAATTTTCAGAGGACTTAGTACGTTCTGGAGAGCCTCTTAAGCTACAACGGAGAGCAAGAAAGAGCAGTCAACGTTGAATTTTGCTTACCTCGATGAATCCTTCCAATCCTAACTTATCTGCCATGTTAGTACCCCAGTCCATCAGAAGTGTGCCGATACCTTTTCCTCTGTACTTTGGATGTACTGAAGTTTGATTCAGTGCTACATAAGAATGGCTATGTTACAACAGTTCCGACAAGACGATGCAGATTACAGAGCAAAATTTGGGAATATTGGCTTGCCTATATGAGGTCTATTTATCCACTGTTGCCGAGGTGTATAACACTGTCTCACAAATTCGGTCGCGAAATTCCTACCTTCTCCTTCCGGCCACCAAGTCGCAACTATCTTGGGGAGCTCGTTAGGCCAAGGCGTCTCTATAAATATGAGCCACTAAGTTATCTACCATCAGCACAATGAAGGTATCAATAGATATGGGGAGAAACCACCTGACAAGCACCAATAAGTGCACCATTACTCTGGTCGACTACATAAATCCAATGGCTAACACCCTCCTTGGTACGCCAAATGAGTATTCCATGCTCTCTCCTTGTCGGCCAAGACAGCCGCCTCATAATCTTGAGATGTAGGACCGTGTACTGGATGGAAAAGTTGGAAAGATGATATGTAGGGTTCGCGCCAGGCAACCCAAGCTAAATCGACAATTGAGTCTGATTCGGCGCGAGTTGTGACTTCGTGAAGTGTGTATGTTGAGGACATCGTGTATACAATGGGATTTTAAAAGGAGATTTTGTTTTCGAAAACAAGTAATCATGAGGAAAGGTCTCGCTCTGTCCTTGGGAAACACGATTTTTGGGGGTACATATAAAGTAACATGACTTTTGTCTTATGAGGCACCTACAAGATGAAAAATCACTCTGGTCAATCAAAATCAACAACTGGATCAATATTCAAACAGTGTTATCCGGTTGGGCCTATTCTGAGTTTAGTCTTGGTGCGGGGAAGACTATTTCCGGCTTATGATTATGCATGCATGTTGGTGGCCCGGTACGTAGCCTAGTACGTACCAGTAGGTACGTATCCATATCGCAATATGGCCCTCGAACTGTCACTGAAATTATGAGTAAATTACTAAATGTCGGAAATTTTTTGCGAAATTTATAAGCTAATCATCGTTCATAGTCTGCGTTTTGGCGAACGCCGTATTAGACAAATGCTCCAGAAATTCCAGTTGAGCCCTACTCATGAGGGTTTAGTCCTTCCGAAGACCTATTTTCATAATTGTGATTCTCATGTTTTTATTAAGATTACGAACAACTCTCACTCAGCGTATTTAATCAGAGATGCTGAGGAATATCACCAGTCGCGCATCAAGATAGTAGCCATTTGGGTGGCTCTAGAAAATACCAAATAGAGAATAATTACAAGGATGGTGCGATGCTAAAGTCCTCTACCGCAAAAGGAAAGAGGGGCACCGCTATAAGGCTACGGTCGCAAATCTAAAATTCACGACACAACGAACCTTCGACGAAATCACAACTTTAACAACAACATCGCATCAAGCGGTGTTAGCCCATATTAGACGTATTGAATCGAAGCAAATTTTAAGGGCATCAAAGCAGTGGGGTTGTCCTGATTCCAGCAAACACAGCAGCCCCAACTCTTAAGCAGATCGCTGCTGACAGTTTGACTTGACCATCCAATCCAGATCGAGTTTTCTTTCTGGCTCGGCAAAACGGCAAGAAATATTTCTCCAAATTGCTATGTTTCCTTGTGTCAGGATTGCACTCGCGCCGAATCCTTCTTCACTTCGTTCTTCACTGCGCAAGCACAAGGGCGAAAGCTCTTTACGGAGAGAAGTCAGACGCTGACCTACGGGCTTACCAAGTATCTGGCTTTATTGATTGAAACGACTAGTAAACATTCAAACCCCATATTTTCTTGAATCATGGCTCTTCGCTGTCGTTATTCTAGTCGTTGTAGCTCCATTGATGAGACTGTCGTCGCACTCACCGCTGTACCCCGCCAGAAAGGTAATCCTTAGATCGGACGGCATGGATTTTCAAAACAAAAGATGAACCCCACTAAAGCTTATCATTCTAGCAGTATGTTTCAAGACGGCGAATTAACGAGAGGGATCCCGTTTTCGCCGCATGATTCTGGAACCTATCGCGTTTCAGATGCAGCCGCACTCGACAAAACACAGAATGGCTACTCGCACACCCCAGCATCACAGCTTATCATTGCCGATATTGATATCATAGAAGCATGCAATTATGCAGGCAGAGTTCTTGAAGAGGGCGCATTGTTTCGAAACTACACAGCTATCAGCCCTCTCGCTTTGCCCTACGAGCTGCATGGAATTTAGTCCAGAGTACATGCATAGACGGTGGCGAACAATTACAACTTTAGGCTCAGAATTGATGCGGGTTATCCAGCATGTCATTGTTAACTTATATGGGGCCAGCATAATGTTTATATATGGCTATCCCTCACTACAGAACACACGACACAGATTCTCGACACGCTAGCCGCTATGACTATGTTACCATTGATGGGTAAACAGGAGAATACATTGAACAATTGGGCTTCAAATAACCTGGGCAGGCCTCGGGATGGCTACATGGTCTTTTTAATGAGCGAGACAGGTCTACAGCAAGAACAAATAGATCACTGGTGGACCAGTCAAGAGAATACTCGTAAGTGAAATATGTTTTTATCTGGTACGGAAGAAGTTTCTCACAGTTGAATTTAGGCCCCAATATTATAAGCACGTCTGGAGAAGTAGGGCTACTTTCTGAGATTGACGCGTGTGGTTCTGGAAGCCGCAACTCCAAACGTGCACAACTCGACTTTGCAGACTCGACACCCTTCCTATGGGGCAACAACATACAAGACTTCGATGCAGCGTTTTCCGATCTTGATGATTGGTCTCTTCTTGGACGATCATGTTGTGATTTGCATGGACCCTCCTCCACAGATCTGATGAATTTTCACACCCACAAAAACTGGTGCGATCAGTCGACGGAACATGGTCTCCTTCACTCAGATACTATGACATCCTCCGATGCCGATTCAGTATCGTCGATATCATCAGGTTATGAGAGTAAGCGAGCTTCCAACAGATCATCCGGACGTACTTGGGGCACTACATCAACGCTTTTCTCCGTAGACGAGACCCAGGAGACAGCCCTAACTAACGCACCCCAGAGCTTCCAGCATCATCAGATTATACAGCCAACAAAATTTCCTTCAGTTTCGAATTCACAACACAAATCAGCTGATGATCTCGACACAAGCGAGTTCACTACTCGATACCACAGCTTGGAATCTACCCCTCGTTCAACCGCAAGCCTGAGACGCAAATCAAATACAAATCTCAATTCTAAGAAATTGCCGGATATACCTCAAAAGCTTTCAAGATATAGCTGTACTAAATGCGGTCAGCCATTCGAACGTAAAGGTGCTAAGGGCGACTGGAAAAGGCACGAACAGACAAAGTGCGAGCAACAGAAACTGTGGTACTGTATGCCTCAAGCGCCCACTTTTCAGGCATTTAATATGTGGCATTGCATGTTATGCAGTACCTCTGATGGAAATCGCGATGGGATGGCTGGCCATATCACCAATGAACACCGATTTCAAAATTGCTGGAGTAAACCTTTGTCTGAAAGGAGCCATCCCAGGAAGGACAAGTTAAGGGATCATTTGAAGAAACATCATGCTTTATCGGAAGGATCCACTGGATGGGAAGCGTGGCATCAAGATTTGCCCGAAAAGAAGGCTTGGGGCTGCGGCTTCTGTGGTGATTGCTTTTTTACTTGGGATAGTAAGTCATATGTTCATCTCCATATAGTGATTTTTTTTAACTTATTTTATTTATTTATTTGTGTGGAATTGACCTAGTTGACGAAATGGATTACAAATAACTTGGGCCCATGAAAACTGATTTTTACTAACCTCAAACAGCAAGACTTGAACATATTGCCGAGCACTACGAAAATCAAGGTCTTGACGTATCACAATGGTCATTAACGAATGTAATCAAAGGCTTGCTCAAACAACCTAGAGAATGGGATGTATTGACTGCTTGGAACACAATCGTTGGTCACAATGACAAACCCTGTACGTGGTCAGATAATGACGCTCTGATGTTGCAGCGCAAATTAGAGTATCGAGAGGGGACACCACAGAGCCTGGCCGAAGAGGCGAGAAGATTAGCTAAAAGATCTCCTCATAATTCCGTACCGCAGACTTGGCCCCTCTGTGAATCTCGTGCAGTAAAACTAACACGAGATTTGTTGAATGAGCCTCCGAGAACGGATCCTTTGAGCAGGCATGGCAGCGTCTTTGATGGGGAATCTTCTTGGGCACATGTTAAGCACGAAGATTTCGGGATGGAAGGTGATAATTACGGTGGATATATCTAATGGTCGAGCAATCTAAATGAATCTGAATGGTAGAGACGTACGCAGAAACAATGGTATGTGGGAGCCGGCTATCCACATCCATCATATCCTAGAGTTTTCGTATTCATCAGTCGATGACCGTATGAGAATTCTGGCGTCTTTCAGGAATTTATACCTGAGAATGAGCGTGGCCTGGTGCTGAACGCTACAGATGAATTCATCATTTGGTCAGATATTCAAGTAACCTAGAAGGTGAAAGGATGGACCCAGCGGGACCCAGCGGGGAGGGATCTTGGGCTGGAAAAGGCAATAATATCGATTTGGTGATTGAAAGTCCCCCGAAATCAGGTTTCCGGTAGGGCTGGTGGTGCTTAATATAAATTCAAAGTTCATATATCAAAGCAGACTTCAGGAAAGTTTTTAATCATAACAATAATACACTTTCTTTCATCGCTCCACCCAAGACGCAGGAATCTAATTATGTCAGTGAGGTCTTTCAATGATGACTTTGATCAGTCAGAAAAAATGATAGAAGTGATGTGAAATTGTACAAAGTTGGAGGAACTCTGTATCGACAGCTCTGTCGCATACAAGGCTTATTGTGAAAAGTTTGCAGCACACTGTCGATGATATATTTCACCAAGAATGTTTCCCAATCTTCTACGGAAATGTAATTAGAGCTCTACTTTCGTTCCGATCCAGGATTGAGGCAGCTCTGATATTGGTTCCAATCAACTTCGTGTCCAGACTTGGAAGTAAGTGGTGAATGTTACCATCACTATCTGTGGGAGAGCATCACAAACATTCTTAAAGTATATGAGATGGCCGTATCGCAACAGCCTTTCAAGAAAAGAACGAGAAGATTGAGATAACTGCTTCTTCTATGTCCACCCGTCGAACGTCGGATCCTCCTGGAGGAACAACTCGCCTTGAGAATGGATACTCGTGAGATTGGGCATGGCACATCCAGCGGATGAAGATAATTGCTTTCTAATCTATTTCGCATGAACTTTGCTTCCACTTAGGACTGATTAACTCAAACTTCAGTACTTGTGCACAGAACTGGGAAAACTTGACCACAATTCCACCCTCGAGAGATATTACAGTTCACTTGTCCATACTCTGCTATAGGTATTTTAACTTTGAAGTGCTATTGCACATCCTACTGGATGCTTTCGATAAAAATAATTGGGAAACCACATCCTGCACGGGATACTTGTCCATTTAGAACGTTGGCTTGTTAAATTTGGAGAATTGGCGAGAAAGCTGTTCTGTTTATTAACATATCGCTAATTGATTTAGTGAACTCATGATTGAGACGGAAGTCCTGAAGAATCAATGGAATAGTACCCGAGTCCATGATGAAAAATACAATGATAGGGTCTTCGCGTGTGAAAATCGAATTCTCTCTGCCATTCCAAATAATGGTAATGCTGATCGCCTCTGTTCCTGTATATACCGTATTTAAAGCCCGTGAACGATTGAGCAATGCGGCTAGTTCTGGAAATTATCAAAGGGCAGGTGTGATGGATGTCCATAGTTAGGGAATGGCTAACTAGATGTCAGGTGCGAAAATTCGAAAAGCATGTGATGATCATAATTTGATATCTTGAATGACTGAATCCCAGAACTAAAAACTTCGTGGTACTGCAATTTGGACTGTTATAAGCCTCGCATATGAGAGAAATGAACATCGAAGATAGGAAATTTTGAGGATGCATGTTGTTCCCGAAGTGTTTGATGAGAAGGAGAATTTTATGGGGTTGGAAATATACGTTGATCTTGTGAAGCATCAACAGGAGGGCGCCTTGCTGTTCCTGGTTGCTTCTTGAACTTCAAGGCCTAATTTCGTTTGATAAGTAACTTTAATATAGCGTCTCTGAGGTCTCAGTTTATTTTCACGCGCTAGAGGCTGACGTTCTCATATGTAAGCATATATTCCATTATCACGAGCTCGAAAATCTAATTTTCTGTAAAGCATTTATATTTGGTGAAATCCAACGTAGTACCACTTATCCGCCCCAGTTTTGAAAATCAGTCATTCTAAAGCGGACTGGCATAGAAGCTTCGATGATAAGTAGGTAATTTATTTTTGAAGAGTAATAAAAGGAAAGCAGAGCGAATGGCCGCAATAATAAGAATACAACGTTTCTGGATGATCGAGATCTTGCTAATTGAATTTCCTGCAATTCAAACGATCGAAGCTCATGGTCGACTTGCATATTTCCTTTCCGCCAATAAGACATTTGAACGTGAGATTATCGCCCTTATTGCCAAATATGATCTGCTGTTGAAAGTAAATCCCCTGCACTCGACAGCCGAGTTGAGCATTGAATTGCATATGAAGATTTTTACCGAAATTGAAGCTACTGTCTAGAGTTGACTGAATCTCTCCAACTTTCTCGACTCCTATGCCGCGTTAGCCTACAGTCTTGGTTTTAGCTTGATTATCAACAAACCAGGGTCAGAAAGATACTCGGGAGGCTCTGCTGAAACACAAGCATAAAGTGTACTTCTGAGTATTGTATTTATGTGAGGTTTATATGCCATCCGACAATCAATAACTCTAGAGGTATCCTTGGTTATTTGGTCCCCCTGCAGCATTTACTAGTTAGTATGAAAGGTAGGATAAAGCAAACAGCCTCTATGGTGTTGCAATGAAATCATAACGATCATCAGGGGTTTTGGTCGGACAACTGCCTAGTTACGGGTTTCAAAATATATATGGAGCTTGTTGAGTGACTTGCCTTGAAAATCAACCATTCCATTCGTCCACTACATCTTTTCAAATTTCCCCATGGGTCAATGTAAGAATCCTCCTCTGGGTCTATACCTTCTCGGAAAGGCATGCTCAAAGAAATACCATAATGACGACGGGTTTGCTTGAACCGGGGCGCGATTCCTTCTAACCCACGCAAGGCAGCGCCACGCACAATCGCTGATTGTCTTCAGAGATAATTAGCATAGCAGCAGACCAGAGGTTCATATTGATTGTAGCTTACGGGTGCAAAGGGCGCATCAAAGTTATTTTGCCATTTTGTCTGCACCACTTTTTCAACTGTTTATTGAGGTGTGGCGATTCCCCAAAGCCTCCGACCAGTATGATGCGCTGGATTATGATAGATTTTAGTAATATATCCTTCGATTCTGTTTAAAATAGGAGTCCAAACATACGTTGATTCTAGCATTTTTAGATTCCTTTGCTGCTGCCACTTGCTTCCCTACCAAACTTGTAATTTCTGCAATAACGGGATCAAACAAGTCCTCCATATCTTCGCTGGAGGGTTGTTAGTGAGATGAATGCTTTACAGGCGGACACAGGATTCTTACAAACTGAGCAAAACAAGTCGATCCTCCGTGTCGTAATGATCAGAATCCATAACATCAAGATTGAGAGGACCCAGCTCTCCTACCTCTCTCTCATCGGTACGTCCAAAATCCCGCTTCAATGTTTCAAAGGCCGCCATAAATCGACTACCTGGACCTTTTTGACTAAATGGCAGATCATCAAATGCTGACCCAAAGCGTTTGGAGAGCAAAAGGTGAAGATTTCGATCGATGTTTGTTGAACCACATTTTCCACCTGTTCAAGACGTTAAAATGCAGTTACAAAAGATTGGTTTTGTCGAGTTGGAAAAAGGCGACTTACCAATGCCAACACATAATTCGTCGAATATGAGGTATGGCTGCACCTGAATAATTGTGTACGTGGTAATGTCAACAGTTCCCCCACCACAGTCACATATAAGTATGTTCTCATTGCACTGAGTTCGTTAGTATCTTTCACCAAGGTACGCGTTTTCAGACTTACGGAAATTGGATTGAATGCATCTGATTTAGCGTATTCCTTCAAGGTTGCGATTGCTGCAGCTTCAGGCTCGGCAATGGTGTAGATTTCGTCTCCCGGTCTATTCCCAAAACCAGCGTTTTTTGCAGCTTTCAAGGTAGCATCTTTGGCCTCTTCTGACCACACAGCGGGTAAAGTTACCCAACATTCTATCGGAGTATTTTCAAAGGTCAGATCGGTCATCTGTTCCCGCAATGTGCTTGATACGTGTGTGTATACTTCGTGCAAATAGTCTTCACAAACACCAGCTGCATCTCGAAATGGAGGTAATTGTAGCATGCCACTCCCTGTCAAACTGGCGAGGGATGGATCGTCATGCTCCATCGCAGCAGCATTCTTATCAAGCAAAAGTTTTGTCCACGAGTAAGACTTCATCTTCGAGGTAACCTCAAATCCCCACTTGTTGTTTTTGGTCTTTAAATTTTCCTCGCTATACGCAATTCTTGTTGGAGTCTTCCAGGACACATGAGGATCCCCAGGCCATGGAGACATGATGTTAATATCCTCTAGGCCAGCTTTATCTGTGGTCACATAGCTGACGCCTGTAGTGATGTTATAGGAGAACAGTGTGAGGTTTGATTTCCTTACCTGAATATGTTGTACCATAATCAATTCCAATGACGATCTTATGGCCACTTCCTTTTGAAGTAAGAGAACTCATAGTCTTTTGGGAGGGGTTGCGGTTGCACATGACGATTGTGGTTACTGTAGTAACAGACCAGATTGAAAAAATTTCTGGTGAAATTTTGACGTTGCCGACAGGTTCTTGTATCTTTGAAATTGAGAGAAATTGAAAGAGAAGTCATTGTGATATTACAGACACCCCGCTTTACTTACTAGCCTGGAGTAAAAAAGCACGTGCTAAGCTAGTTCAGACGCCAGAATGTCGAGAGAGTCAGTGATATATGGTGGAGCTACCAGTTCTTGATTGGAGCGTTTTAATAAATATTCACTTCAGTTACGTCCCTGCTCGATCTCACCCTCGTCTTTGCCTCCTCACCTTTTACACTCTTACCATGTTGTATCCAAAGCTATCAAGGTAAGACTGAGCACCCCTGTGGTGGCAGATTCCGTACCTGACGAAGCTTATTTTAGTCATTAGAGTTCTAGTAAACTTCTTGATTTTCCTGATTTCGAAAACTTAATAGAAAGTTTTTGAATTCGATTAATAATCCGAACCTACAAGTACGTAAATTACGTTCTTGCACTTTCTTCATTCATACATTCTACTTTCTATAATATAATAGTAAAGCTTGTTATTAATAAAGAATATTGATAGTTCTACAACTTATGGAATAATTGTGTGAACGTAGGTGGATGACTTCAATTCAACGACCGCTGTATCACCTAAGCGAATGCGAAAGAGACTAGCTCTTTCAGTAACCCTTATTTAAGGCATATCATTTCCTGTACATAGCTAGCTCTTTAGGCAGAATATAATATTGACGATTAGGATCTACCATTATAGGTACTACGTCACCTACACTCTTCTCAAACCAACAATAGTTCAGTCTCCTTTAAACTTTCGGCTAGCTTCTTTAACCTCCTTCCAACTCCTACACTTGTTCTCCTTTGTTTATCAGTACGAAACTCTAATATTCGAAGATTCCAAATGTTACAAGTTCCCGTAGAACTCTATATTTTCATTTTTTTCTCTTCAAATTCAATAATAAATGGGTTACAAAAAGTGTAGATGTTTTTTGTTAGCAATAAACTGGGCTATTTTTCATTGATGAATAGAACTTCAATATCATAATTTACGTAATAGAAATTTGCATGGGAATTTACATTGAATTTCTTTTTATTTGTAGTATTGATTCTGCTACCACAGGGGCATGGTTTCTGGATTCCCGGAAAAGACAGGCAAGCCCTCCTTCCAAAGCAAAAATCGAGTAACAATGCAGCAAGAACCTCCCCTTCCGAGGCCATCACCAACCGCTACAGGTAAAAGGGTGTTGGAAGTTGATCCAAATTCGATAACGCAAGAAGGCTCAACAAAGAGTAGACGAGGCTCTCGGGGTTCTGACACTGAAGAATCTGAGTACAAAGAAGATTTGATATCACTCAGAGAGGCGGAGAAACAGGCAAAGAGAAACGAGCTATACACAGAAAAAGGTAGATATTCCCATACATATTGCGAATCTCACTAATACCACCCTGTTTCTATAGAAAATTCACCTTCTATGATTACAAAGGTTTTTCGCAAGGTTTTACCAGGTTACAACACTGAACGATCTCTAGTGACATCTGAAGAGAGACACCCAAATGAACGACATAAGATTTCTAGCTATGGAGACAACTCTTCCCAGCCGTGTCAATCAGCAAGGCGTACAGTGAAAAATGTAACAAGCATGGAAGCACAGAGCCAATTCGCTTTGTTGGAGGAAGACTATAATCAACTGCTTCAGGGAAACGAGAAAAAACACGAGGCCGAGAGAAGAAAGCTCGAAGACTATGTGAAGATCCTTGAACTTCAGGTCCAAGACAGTGAGCAATTAGTACACACATTGCAAGCAAGAAACGGACAACTTGAGTTCGAAAAGCAGGATATAGAGGAACAGCACAGAACCTTCATTCGAAAACAACAGGAAACAACATTCCGACAAATGAAAAGCTCACGCTGGATGCCTGCCGAGGATAGTAAAGTCATAGAAGATCTTGATAGACTTAAGAAAGACATGAGAAATTGGGCGAAAAAAGCGACGGTAAATGATATGGATACTCTCCTCGGATCGCTTGGAAAGCGCGAAAGTGCAGCTCTGAAGGAGGCCTTAACACATGTGGTTGTGTTCGAAAATGGTAGACTCCCTCAGGGCTTGTCTGCGAAAAAGTACCCAGGTTTACTTCTGACTGCTCTACTCACCCATCATGTATACCAAACCTTGTTTAAGAGTCCATTTTTCTTCATCGACGATAACATGGTGGATGGAAGATGTGTAATGTCAGAGTACCGGGTGGGTCTAGAATTTGTCTACCGCACAGGCCAATATTGTAAATCAAACGGACAACTCTTCAGCAGAAAGTTACGCTGACCTCTATCTAGCAAATAAAGGGGATGCTCATATCTGGCGATCAGATTTTTTGAGGCTCCAATTGCCACCAATGACTCCCGAGACTTCAGAAAAGGGAAAAGATCTACATCGCACGACTGAGGATCAGATAGTTCGGGTCGCAAATCGACAAGCTTCGAAGTTCCTAGAAGGAGCAGCTCAATATATCATCAGCAATGAAGGCCAAGACATACTTGCAGACAAGCTTAGAGTTATTTACAGCGAAGCAGCCAGTATTTCGTACATGCTCTGGACAAGAAGAACGGCACTGAATGTGTATGTCTTGGAGAATATGAGAGATATGCGTTTCCCGTTCGATAATAAGTATGTGGTTCCGCATTCTTCAGTAAACTACGAAGAACATGAGGATCAGCTGGAAGGCAGGGCTCTCAGTATAATTGTGCACCCATGCCTGGTTGTCTCCGGTACAGATGATGCTAAGAATTACGACCAGCGACGCGTATGGGCACCGGCGGAAGTATGGCTTGACAGCAGTGTCTCGTCCGGCAATTAGCTCCATTACGGGTTCCATCGAACTCGGCGACACATAACCGTAGCTAGTTCTTGGTACGGATGGTGGGTGGAATAACGTTGGAGGTCGTGGGAGCCAAAGTTGAACCGTTGGAAGACGTCAAAACTCTAGCTCATTTTCAGAGAGCGTTGATATTAAACTTGCAATGGGTTATAATTGCTGATCAAACCAGCTCTGAGGTTTTATGGTGAATGACAGGCAGCATATTCATGAAGTCTGCGAGAAAACAAGCAAAACGGTACTAGACACCGAGATTCTAGCGAATGTTCCAGAGGATATTCCCAAAAGCGCTGATATTACAATTGCGATAGTCTATAGCTGCAGCAAAATGCATGACTTTCATAACATCTTGTTCGTTGAATGTTGCGTGTGAGATCCCGTGCAGAATGAATGAGGAGTGAGGTCTGAGAAAACAGATTTTAACCTGACGGCGTTGAGATAAATCCGATCCGAAGTTCAGCCGACTGAGATCCGATCTTGCGTGGAAGGGGGTGGGATTGCTCGGATGTATTCCATGCTCTGCAATATCTTTACATCGAGGGCTTTCCTGCTACAAACTCAAACGTGGTTGCAAATGTTCATGTCTTCGTTCTCTGTTCCGGCTAAATCATAGCTGGGTGGCTGGGTAACATAATGAACTCCACAAGCTCTAGGTACAATGCTGAGCTTACTCGGCAGAAACAACCCTTGTATCATTGTTTGCTGAGTAAGACCAGCTGGCTCTGGCAACAGCGGAGACAAAGTGTTTCCCTGGATATAAATATCAGCTCATGGTCTGTACACACCAAGAACAAACTTTAATTATATACCGTGTCTTTGTCCCATCAACATCCTTATTGCTAAAGTTCGCGCTACGGAACTGAATCACCGGACCCAATATATCTGTCTATTAATATCACACTGAAAAGTATCATGGCTTTCTATCTCCCACAGGACCAAGGTGTATTACCATACTTTCTACTCTTCATGGGTTTTCTATTCTGTTCTGATACCCTCAACTCTACAATCGAAGAATTTCCAAAAGCATGAGCAACAACTCTTCCACCCCATCCATTACCCCTCCCCCGAGCTAACACCCACAGAACGCCATCATGAGTTTCTACAACTCTGCCCAGTGTTTTCTCTCCCTCCCCGCCACCCGAAAACTTTTCTTCGGTCCACACTCCACCATCCCCTCTTCCACTTCCCCTAAAACAACCTCCCCATCTTCTCATGAAGCAACCGCCCTCTTTCCCCGCACCTTCGGCTGCTACACCCTTGTAAGCGGTATGCTCCGTTTGATAACAGCATATAATCTTTCCTCTCCTGAACTCTATTTCCTTACTTTATGGGCTTATGTGGTGATAGCAGGGTTCGGGGAATGGAATGGTTGTATTTTGGGACTGTGGCTTTTGGACCTGCGTTATGCGCAAGTATTGTTATAGACGGAGGAGCGGTGAATATGATGTTGTGGGGATGGGATAAATATTAGGCTCCGAGGTTTTGGGAGTCGGGAATGTGATGTGAAGGGGAGAAAGCTTGGTTTTACGACTTATGATCATATGTATTAATGTTTCAAGAAATGAAATGATCTACCGGTGCAAAATTTATATCATGTGCTTATAATCAGATGAGTCTACAAGTCTATATTTGGTATGCCGATGACACTTCTACTCCCAAAACTAATCGTACATGAAATATGCTTTTGATCGCTTAACATTTAGAGCGCTAGTATACACTGCGTCTCATCCCCCCTTAAGAAATTGTACAGATGATCTTCCCTTTACTTGTGTTTTTCTCCATCTCCTTGTGAGCCTCAACCACCTTTTCCCAAGGGAAAACCTTGTCCACAAAAATCTTAAATGTACCATCCTCAAATTTAGGAAGGTATTCTTCCAACTTATCTCTCAATTTGCCCTGGTAATCCACATCTCTACTCCTCAATGTGCTTCCTTCAAATCTAACTCTCTTGAATATGAACGCACCCATATCAACACCACTTGGTAATTTCGTACCACTCATTACCCCCAAGAGCACAACTCTCGCATCTTTTGCTGCTACATCCAGATCTCCCTGGAAGTAGTTTGCCCCTACGAAATCAACAATAATATCAACACCCTTGCCATCTGTAGCAGCGGTAATTTCCTTGGCCCAATCTTGTGTTTTGTAGTTGAAGCCTGCTGTGGCTCCTAATGTGTTCACGCAGAAATCGATCTTTTCTTGTGAGCCCGCTGTTACATAGATAGCTGATGCGCCGGAGTTCTTGGCGAGTTGAATACCTGCAATGGAGACGGAAGATGCGCCTGCGTGCCAGAGAATGGATTTTCCTTGGGAGAATTCGCCAACGAGATACATAGCTTGAGTAGCTGTTATCCATGTCTATTGCGATTGTGTTAACTCAATCCATAAATGATATCTGAAGAAGTATAAAAATGATGGGTAAAATCATACCTCAGGAATACCAGCGGCCTCTTCCCAGCTCAAATGATCCGGTTTCTTCAAAAGCATATGCGTGCTCACAGCAAGGTACTCGGCATATGCACCTCCATACGCCAAACCAAACACCTCATCCCCAACACTAAATCCCTCTTTAATATCTGTGCCTAAACTTTCAATCGTACCAGAAAATTCCACGCCAAGAGTTTTGGGAGCCTGTGGTGGAACAGGATAGAGGCCTTCACGTTGGAGAAGATCCATACGGTTAAGACCGAAAGCTTTGACTTTGACGATAGCTTCACCCATTTGAGCGGTAGGCTTGGGGGTCGAATCGTTTATGAAAAGGGCATCGGCATGGCCTTTGCCGTCTTTGATATCTGAGGAGTTATGTTAGCTGATATTGCTTTCATTGGCGCGCAATTGCGTGTAGCTGGTTGGAACGCCAAGAATAAGACCTTAAGTGCATGGAATTGAAAATTACATACCAACTGCTCGCATAGTTTCAGGCATTGTACTATCTATTTTATTGCGGAAAATAACTGGGGATATATTCTGGAATGAGAACAAAATTGTCTTGGAGGAAGATCAATGCCAAGGGGCATTTGATGTTTATTATATTGTGATGTGGTGGGGCCGCCCAATGACGATAGCGGGGTAGCTAAAATTCCTGCTTACAAAACATGTTACAATAGTGACGAAAGTTCCCCGAAAATCAGTATTTGTACCTAGGTAATTATTAATGCACAGCCTTTCGGGTATCTAAGTCCGATTCGAGTTCGCGTATCCCCTATTCATCTTAGTTAGATAAACACACTGGCAGCACAAGTTTTCTGTTCTCTGCGTCAATCACAAGGATCATGTATATGGTTTGTTGATATCTCACATCTAATAACAGGAGACGGCTGATTGATGTATCTCTTGGTAGGTTCGAGAATATCTCATGGGGTGATAAAGTCAAATACCAATACATCCATACCTTCGCACATCGCATCATATCCGCTTCATCGGCCTCGAGGTCAAACATTTTTTCAAAACATCAAGTAAGGTGTATATAGTTTCTGTTCTAATTCTCATTGCACCCAAAACATTCTACAATCCCCTCTGAAATAACATCAATCAGACCGGCCACATCGTCCGTTTGTGGTTGTGTTGTACCGGCATGCATTTGGGAAATATGGGTTGAATAAGGAGCTCCTCCGTATGATTGATCTTGGGAATGGGTCGAGACGACTGTTCTTCTTCTTCGATCAATTCGCGTATCATGATGCATTGAAGGAATTGGTAGAAGCTAGCGTCTCTTAATGTGCCTGCTTGTCTACATTGGATTTGATACATAAATTTCTTGCATGTAGTGGCATCCAAGCAAAATACTAACATTTAGGAAGAATAGCAAGTAGTAATGAAATCTAAAATGGGACGGAGAACATGAGAACTTGATATAAGATGGCCAATATGCATGACTCGGTTGTTATGAGATACTCGAAAGTGGCAGCGTTACCATTGTCTTCCTTACGAAGAGGCGGGATAAATTCATTAGGTTCACGCGGATTAAGGATCACTAAACGATGTGGATGGAAGTATATTTGGGTTCGAATGAAGGTGTGTTTTATTATGAAATGACTGACCTGACTTACCTCTACTCGCACTCGCCTCTCCCACTAGAGAGATAGAATTTATAGAAAAAGCGTCCTGAAAGATTCAATCGTTCGGTAAACGAGTACCAAACTGTGACTTGGCCCACTTGGACACCGTCGTTACATTGTCGGCGCTTGTGAGACAAAACTTCCTCACGAGCGGTGCAGCTCTCAAACTTACGTTTTCGGTTTCGTTGAAAAGTGTCTTCGATGTTCATACGCTTAAGTCGAGCGGCAAGCTCGTTGACCTCCTGGGAATGTAGGTCTTGCATTGGTGCTTCTATATAGCTTGACATATTGATGCAGGTGTTATTGTTGTAAAGATTTGAATGCTGTGATTTGAATGGAGAAGAAAAGAATATATCAAGAAGGAGGAATTGCCTTTTATACCAAAAATTTGTATCATGTTTACAGCGAAGTCGATGATGAAAACAATGCATTGATTCTCAGTGCTAGTGTGGATTCTTTGTCATGTCTCAAAGGAACCTTCAGGCGTCTGGGATTGTTCTCCATCTTCTTTGTTGCATCTATTTTTAAGGGTAGACTACAGCACTGAGTTCTTCTGTCTTCAGCCATCCTGTGTTCGAGGAAACCAACGAAATAATATCACCTCTATATCGAATTGAACGTTCTAACTAAGGCCAATGGAGGGTATCCAAACGTGCGGATGCTGATCACATCGCCATTAATCCTACAATAACCTCGATTGACCAGCTCCCGGTTGTTCAGTCTTTCTTTGCAAATGAAGGCAAAAACTCCATAACTGTAGCCACGGCCCACTTGAGAGTTGTGGTCATATCAATGTCTGGGCCTCCATCCTGGCACTTCAGACCTAGCTCACTAACCACATCTTCTTTTAACTTCCCCTCAACATCATCACCTTCAAACATCCATTTGTGGTCCTCAACATAATTTGGCCATACAATCTTATCAACGTATCCTGGTGGATCTTCCCAGAATCCCTCAAGAGTTACATAGCCACTACGAGCCTCCCTTCGTCCTTTGGCCTTCTCATAACTAACACGTAGGAAAAGTTTTAGGTCGATCTGGGATTGAAGTGCGGCCAAGGATTTGGAATAGAGAAGAAACCCATCAAAAATGCAAAGACGAATGGGAGAATCTGTGTCTGATAAGATTCCATGTCCTGGCTGTCCAGGTTGAGTCCATGTCTTAACTTCAGATCTTAATGCTTCGATATCTTCATCTGACACGGGACATCGTCCAATAGAGTTTTTGTCTTCTTTGGAATCGAGACTAGGCTAGGGAGAGTGAGGAGTCGTTCTGCAAGATTCGCAACTGTCAAAACACAGATAAAAGATTATGACTGACAGGAAATGTGCCTTCTTTGCGTATATGCTCAATAGACTTGACCATTTCAGGTATATCCAAAGCTTCCGCGCAGTCCCAATCTACTAGATCATGCTTTTTAGGGAGTCTGGTTATTATTAGTAGGGGGCACATTGAAAAGTACTTCGCAAATCAGACACTAGGTCCTGAAACAGGATACATATCAACAGCAATACAGGCAAAATCTAAACTCACTCTTCTTCGGGTCTATAGAAGTCATCTTCGTGAAGAACGAAAGTATGTGGAAAGATATCACGGAGGAGTCGACTGAGTGTTGTCTTACCACTAGATGAACACCCACTAATGCCAAGTACCACTGCTTTCTTAGAATCTTTCATGATGAGAGATTAGTGGCTTCTATGTCCAAGTTGGACTATCATCAAACGTTGCTGTCGATCTCGAGATTGCTTCTCAAGCTGAGGCCGTTGAAGGAGGGATTTGAAGATTGGGTAATCATAGCCAGCACCGTTTATTTTGTCTCGACGCTGTGACCAATTCGATAACGAATCTTTCCGATATCACATCATGTTTTGGTGGATCAATGTCTTGACTGCCTCTACGCTGTATGTAACGGTGATATAAATGCATATGAAAGTGCTAAAATATGGGCCTGAGTATATTACCGTCCATTGCCAATAAATTATATCTTCAAAATTTATTCTTATTCGCGCGCATCTTCAATTACAAGACAATCCGAACTTATGCCAGTCCGCTCAATCCCCAGACACCCATGCACACGCCAATCGGAAGCTTGTGGGTAGTTTCTGGGGCAGCTGCTCTCAAGACGAAAGTATTTGCTTGGCCTCGCCTGTTTCTTCAAGCAACCTTGCTGTCAGATTCATTTAATTGAATTAATATTCCCTCTTTTACCCAAACATCCTTTTTCCCAATTGTCAACCTTCAAGATGCTTTCTCCCTTCAGATTAGCCAGCAGGCAAGCCATTACCCGTGGTGTTGCTTCCAGAAGTAGCATTGCCATCAGACAAGCTTCCACATGGGCAGATGTTCCTCAAGGTCCTCCAGTACGTATTTCTTGTCAATGGCACTACTTTAGACACTTTTAGGCTAATTCAATACAGGATGTAAGTTGTTGACTCTTCTAATTCGGTAGAGGGCTAGTTTTCTAATTGTGCGATTGTTTGTGACAGGCCATTTTAGGTATGAGTCAACAATGGGATTACTTGTTTGATGTGAAAATCTAACAAAAATGCAGGTATTACTGAGGCCTTCAAGGCAGATAGTTTCAAGGAGAAGATCAACTTAGGTTTGCAACACCGAACTGCTTTCAATTTAACATCACTAACTTTATTCTAGGTGTCGGCGCATACAGAGATGATGCAGGCCAACCTTACGTCCTTCCATCCGTCCGAACCGCAGAAGACAAGGTCGTACAAGCAAAGCTCAACAAAGAATATGCGGGTATTACTGGTGTTCCAGATTTCACCAAGGCAGCTGCTGTTCTTGCATACGGTGAGGGATCGAGTGCCCTTGATCGTTTAGTCATTACACAATCCATCTCCGGAACTGGAGCTCTCCGAATTGGAGGAGCTTTCCTCCAACGATTCTATCCTGGCGCAAAGAAGATCTACATCCCAACTCCATCGTGGGCAAACCACGCTGCAGTGTTCAAGGATTCGGGTCTCGAGGTTGAGAAATATAGATACTACAACAAGGACACAATCGGCCTCGATTTTGAGGGCATGATTGCAGACATCAAGGCCGCGCCAAAGGGCAGCGCTTTCTTGCTCCACGCATGTGCGCACAACCCCACTGGTGTCGACCCAACTGTCGAGCAATGGAAGGAGATTAGCGATGCTGTCAAGGCTGGTGGACACTATGCTTTCTTCGACATGGCCTACCAAGGATTCGCCTCCGGTGATACCGACAAGGACGCTTTCCCAATCCGTCACTTCATTGAGCAAGGCCACAACCCATGTCTTGCCCAGTCTTTCGCCAAGAACATGGGTTTGTACGGTGAGCGTGTTGGTGCATTCTCTATTGTCTGCGCCGATGCCGCCGAGAAGAAGCGTGTTGATTCACAAATCAAGATTCTTGTCCGCCCTCTTTACTCCAACCCTCCCGTTCACGGTGCCCGTATCGCTTCTACAATTCTCAATGACAAGGCTTTGAACAAGCAATGGCTTGCTGAGGTCAAGGGAATGGCTGATCGTATCATCACCATGAGAGCTTTATTGAAGAAGGAACTCGAGAACTTGGGCTCAAAGCACGACTGGTCTCACATCACTAGCCAAATCGGCATGTTCGCATACACTGGTTTGACCCCTGAGCAAATGGATAAATTGGCTACTGAAGTAAGTTTTTTTCCGGACTGATTTAGTAGAAGTAGAAGTAGCGCTAATCATAAACTTAGCACTCCGTATATGCTACCAAGGATGGTAGAATTTCTGTTGCAGGTATCACTTCAGCAAACGTCAAGAGATTGGCTGCCGCTATCCATGCCGTCAAGCCATAGGTCGGTTATATAATTTTAATCCCAAAATCTAATATAGCACGGCGTGGTAGAAAATATCTTGAGCTCAGTCCAGAACAGAAGAATAGATAGATGCAACATATACCATTCAAAGAAATAAAAAGTCTTCCCTCCATGAATTGTTCCGCCTTTCAGAATTGTTATCGAATGAAATTAAATTGATCACAGTACTCGTAATCATTGCACCCCAACAGAAATGTCGTGTCTTTCAGTTCTCTCAATATAACACCATTTCTCCTCTGATCTTTTACAGCCATAAGTTCATCACATCTTTCCGTCTGATCATCAAATCGTAAAATCATAAATCATCCTATCCTTCTCTTTCTCTATCACTAATCCACGCGATTAACTTCCCCTCAACCTCTCCACATCCCTTTTTACCTCCTGCAGCTCTTCCCTAAGTTCTCCATATACCCTCGCAATCTCCCTCATCTGCCTTTCCTTCCTCTCGTCCTCTCTTCCTACTCCATATCCCCATAAGTCCCTCTCCTTCAATTTCCCCCTCTCCTTCAACCTCTCTCTACCCCCACGCAGTTCCCGCATATAATTTTGTAAAGCTTCGGTTGTCCGTTCGTCGTAGATGATTTTCTCTCCTTGTACATACTTGAGTTGCAATTCGTGGGAAATAGTCTGGGATTGGAGGGAGAGAAGAGAGATTTTGGAAATGGTGTGTCGGGTGATGGGGCCGTGTTTTGAACGCTCGAGGAGTTGGATTATGAGGGCTGTCGCGCGGTGGTATAAGGTTAGGAGCTGTGTCGTGGTGTTGGTTAGGGTTGTGCGGGCGAGAGCGAGAGAATGAGATTGCGTGAGGAGAGAAGATTGCAGAGTCAAGACGCTAGGGAGGAGATTGGGGATCTGGCGATGCAGGAAAGAAGCGTTTGTTGTCGGGGAAAGGATTCGCGAAAGGGAGAGGGCGGTGTTGTGGAGGTTGGTGCTGAGGAGGGCGCTCAGTTGCGGAAGGTGGGTTAGGAGGGAATGGTATGTCGGTGTGGATTCTAGGAGGGCAATATCGCGTTTGGAAAGGGAGCTTGAGGGAAGAGAAAGCTTTGCTGTGAGAAGAATAACCAGCTCGATGAGTTCATCTGGTAATTCTGCAGCCTTTCTTGGCGGCGCGGGTTGAGAAGTTCGGGTTCGAGGTTTCGCGGGGATGGGAGGCGGTGGTGAGAGATCCAGGGACGACAGAGAAGATATCAGAATCTGCGATTTTGCGGCTTCTATTCTGGCGGTTTTTAGTGCCTAGGGTTGTATGTTAGTAACTGTGAAAAATAATAGAGTGAGGGGAAAAGCTACCCCAGAAATCGCATCCCGCTCTTTCTGAGCAGGATGATTTTTAGTAGAACCATTAGGATTTAAAATATTGGTTGAAAGTTTTTTGTACAACTCTGCAAACTTGGGGTTACTCTGAAGAATGGACTCTTCGACAGGAGGCAACATGTCGCCGTCGATGTTAGAACTGATTATTGAGTTGTGCCAGATTTGCCAACACACTCCAAAAGTTCTATAGCAAGTCTAGCCAGATTGAAATTTCCCGAACCTGGGAAAAGTAAAGATTTTGTTGCAGATTTCGAATCGGTGAGATTTCAGAATCTCGAAATCAATTGTCTTGGGAAATCTGGAAGAATGGCTGTTAAATTCTACGAGGGTGCTTTTTGGGCAGTTGTCAATTTATTTTGACAAGGATGACGGGGATTGTGCATTTCTGACGAGGCTAATGTGGATCTAATTGGGTTAGATCATTAATCCCCATTACATTACCTCGCTCTTGCCCGATTTTGGGTTCTGTCATATTTGATATCAGACGATTGCGAACTTGTCAACATCACTAATGCAAACGCAAACAAGATCTTATTTGGACCTGAGGTACTCATTTTTACTCCCAGTTCAATGCGTCAATGCAATCTACCTGCTATCTTTCGTTCTCAATTGATAGATTCAAACTCCGTTTACTTTCCTTTGCTTCTCCTGTTTGCTTACTTTGATCCAAATTAGATCTTAAATCAACCCAATTCGGTCCAAACTTTATTGTTGAACCAGCTGTCAGTGCCCTGAACTTTGGTACATTCAAAGCTTATCAATAATCAATGATTCTTTCTGGCCGAACTTCTTCACGCCTAAGGAAATCCGTTTTCCTTGCTCGACCTTGCATCCGAGCTTCGTGGTATGGTAGCGACAAGCGTCTAGCTCCTTCTACTCCATAGAATATCCCTATCTTGAAAGACTACTGCACGAAGTAGTTACCATGCGCAGGGAGTACTAAAGATTTTGGTTGAGCTCTTTCAATTTTACTTCAACTTGCAAACAAATCAGGCATGAAGCTCAGAGATTGTTTCATAGACAGAACGAGCTCGGATTCGATGGCCCCCACCACTCAACATGATGTGGACCAGTATATATTAAAGGCACTTTTTACGAGGGTATCATGCCGGCAGTCAGTCACCTGGGATTGGTACCAGTTGAATTGAATTGAGTTAAATTGATTGTGATGAGTATCAAGGTGTGGCTCTTGTCTGAAGACTTACTCGGGTTCGATCTCAAGGGCATCACACAGAAGTTATTAATATGTGGACCGAAAACAGAGAGAATCATCCAGTTGGTTTCGTTGAACTCGACGTTCGAGTATCAGAATAAATGGCGATATTTCTGGAGAGGTCCTTACCATGCAGAGGCTAATGGGCCGCCAGGAACAAGATATCAAAGAGATTGGTACTTGCGAAGCAGAAACTTGTTGACACCAGTGATTAGTGAAGCATATGGTATTAATGCGATGCAGAAGAGGTCTGTGAATAATTGCTTGGGGATTCTAGATGGTGCTATAAAATTATGACAAGAATTTCTGACAGGGTCCCAACTTTGCGCTATTGAAAACCTTAACCAGTCGGTATATCCATCGGCATTGAGAGTAGACCTAATGACTTGGATAATCTTATAGTTTTGTAGGTTCTCAATGCTTTGGAGTCCATGAATACTTCTCTGTATGGCAGCATCGTAAATATTGCTCGAAATGATACTTAGGTAATCTTACCAGGAAATTACTCCCTTAAGGCACAAGCTTTCTAACATCAGCATATATCAAAATCCAAAACTGTTTCTATAAACTCAAAAGAACGGCTTGGTGTGAGTCAAGCTGAGCAATGTTCTACTTACTGAAATCTCAACTCTTTATCACACCAGGGTCTCACTGCCAGCAAATCTTCTGCAAACGTAATTGATTGAGCATTTTTTTACATTTTCCCTTCATGCTTCATCAACTAATCTGCTACATAGAAGAGTTTGTTTGGGGGGAGTTTTCCCGTCATACTGTTTCACTCATGACTCAACAAATCAGGGACTCAATCAATTTAATCTGTTTTATCCTATGAGTTGTTACAATATGTCTCGCTATTGCTCGGATATATAAGACGCACATATCCTTCCAGTAGATCGTACATAATTTTACATCAGGTATCTTTCCATGTTACTCTCTAGGATTCTCTTACTTAGTATTGAGTCGCGGATTACTTACGAGTCAATTCATTGAATGCTCATACTACCTATGTGAATGGAATCTTCAGAAGCACTTTAAAACAGGGCACATGAAAGAGTCAAAGTTAAAGAACTTCCATTACGGACGAAGTGAATGTCTCGTTCGCCCGTAGGGAGTTGTTTGACGCCGTAACGCCTCCAAACCATGAAAAATGCACGCACGATTCAAATCTTCATCTCCAGATCGATATATCAGGCCTTTGGAGGTTCAGCCGCACAACGGAACTAAGGAAGGGCCACAAGGAATATGGGTTTTCGCCGGACATATGAGGGACTGTTAGACGCCACAACCTTTTTAAAAGACAGTAAAATCTGCACACAGTGACCGATATTTATGTGCGCAGAAGCGGCCATAAAGTTGTTATCTTGAATTCCTTGCTTATTTCAACGACAATCATAAGCTTTTCAGAGATTATAAGGCAGCAACTTGATTTCAATAGTCTCAGACGATCCATCTTTAATGTGGAATTTGAAGGAATGAGGTGCTAGTCTAATAAGCCTTCTCGAACCTATGTTCTACACAAGCCTCAAATATATAAGGTCATTTCCCAGCAAAGATGGGCTGCTGAACTTGCGAGTTCGGACTTTTCAAAGATCTGAATCCTTCCGATCATCAATCTTCACAGAATACTTATTTCAGTTAGTGCTTCTAGATTGATTGGCCTGTTCGTATCCCACATCCTCAAATATATATGGGGTTGAATTTCAAAACGGCGGTGATGTTCCTGGGATTGGGGTGATCTTTTGCAGTTGATGGATGTCTGTGCTTTACGAGTACGTGAATGAGGTGGATCCTGTAAGCATAGCTTGGGCTGAACTACAAATATACTTTTCGGAGGAGAGTCTGTTCATTTTATTTTTTGTATATTTATTGGTGCACGCATAGTCTTTAGATAGAGTTCTTCGTACGTTTTGGGTTTTTGCTTCTTCGATTCATCTATACTTGTTTAGAATTTCCTGTGACTCAACATCTGGCGAAAATGAGCTTCGATACCAAAGTTCCCCAAGGACTATTAGGTAGTGAGATTAAGAGAAAAATGGTTGCCTCTCATGATTTAGATGAGAAGCCATCCGTAGCATAGTAAGTCTCCTAGCTCTCATGATTAAAAGATCTCAATTAACATACAAAAAGTAAATCCCCAGACTATGACCCAACCCAAGCACCACCGTACCTGATGGATCCCTATTCCCAAGAAGTAGATTCCCAGGACAACATGTCCATCAACCAAACACTCACCTCTACCCCCTCGTTTCCAATCGCCAAACTCGTCATTCCCACCAAAACAGATTCTTTAGCCTCCGGCTTTCCTTTCCATCAACGTCTCTACGATTATCGTGTTTCTCATGATGAATGGCATCTCTTCACGCACGAAATTGTCAAAGCAGCTAGTCTCACTATACAGGAGGACTGGGCAGCATGGACCGCCGGTATTTCTACCGGTGTAATAAGTACTGGACTCCTCGTCTTCGGTGGTCCTTTTGCAGGGTATTATACCGGAAGATCGGTTCATAGAAAGAAAGTAGTTGAAAAGGTCAAAGATGGATTAATGCAAGAAGGAAGTTTGAGAGCTACGCTGCATAAATGGAATGATCAGTCGTTCAGAGGTAAGGGTTTTCAGGCGTGGTTAGAACTACCCTCCGTTAAGGGCGAGATCAATGGAGAGAATGAGGAGGAAAGGTCGAATAAAAAGTGTAGTAAGAAGGAGAAAAACTTGAAGAAGAGGGAACAGAGAAGGTTCAGGATTATCATTATCCCTAATGATGCACCGATGGGTATGTTAATGAGTAGCCAACAGTCGACTTGGAGTTTGGGGAATGTGGGGTCGAATCAAAGGAGTGGGATTGCGGAGGCGCCTGATACTGAACAAAGACAGCCGGCGGTCGCGGAACTTCCATCATAATGGGTGAATCTCAAGAGGCGTTTTGCTAATTTCTGGCGTTCGGGGGGTCGAAGACATGGTAATGTCCTATATTCACTTTTGTTGTGGTGCAAGGAGGCCGGAAAAGCAGAATCTTGCATAATGGGTGAATTTCATGAGGTGTATTGCTCATCTGTGGCTCTTAGAAGTCAGTGGCGCAGCAAATTGGTTCGTTATTTACTGTACCTAGTTGTGGTACAACAAGCAATTTCATATTCGGTTTTAAAGGCATCAACTTGCTCTGCAATTCATCTGCATCAACCATTAGCGCTCCTTCCCCACAATCAACTTCTTTCCTTTTTGGAACTTGATTCACCCCCTCGAACTTCTATCCCTATATATATATAGTCGTTAAGACTCCACATTCGAAAATATTTTCTCTCCTCTACAACAACTTCCACACAGCAACTCTCGAGCTTCTCAACTTTGATCGCATCTTACTCACGGATTCAAACTTCAAGTTCTTAACACCTATCTTTGACCATACCACATGCGACATCATGGCTTCCAAGAAGGATACACTCTATCCCAAAATCTCTGGTAAGCCCAAAAACTTACTTGTGGAATTCTCAAAGTACCAGAGAACCTCGAAGACTCGACGTGCTACACTCCCTGTCACCGGAACAGTAAAACTCCATGGAACGCATGGTGATATTCGCATCACAGCAGACGACACTATTTACGTACAAACTCGAAACTTGGATATTCTTACACCGGCTCTCGACAGCTTGAAATTCCTTGATTTGATTCAGCCAGCTCGAACGGAAATCCTTGCCCTAAAAAAGCAGTTCCATGCTCGTTTCATGAAGCTGAATCCCAAAGCTAAGATCAACGATGAAGATCCTCTCATCATCGCCGGCGAGTGGATCGGCGCAAAGATTCAGAAGGACGTGGCAGTCAGTGCATTGCCAGACCGATATTTTGTCATCATTTCCGTTTCGATCAACAACGAATGGCAGCCGGATGAACCATATTCAGATATCGAAAATGAATCTATTAACATTTTAAACATCTCTCGGGGAGGATTTTACCACGAAACCATCGAGCTGAAGAACCCGGACCAAGCATTCACAAAGATGCAAGCTCTGGCCAATGAGGTGGAGAAAGAGTGTCCTTTTGCGAAGACTTTTGGCCTCATCGGCCTTGGTGAAGGCATCGTCTGGAAACCTGCTGCGCCTCTTTGCCATGATGCAAAATATTGGCTCAAACTAAAGGGTCCAATTTCCATGGGAATTGTAGAGGCTGGGCCGGCCGCCCGCATGCCACAGCGAAGCAATCTTATCGTTCCTGTGTTTGCGGCTCCAACCCCTTCTCCTGCAGCAGCGAAGACAGCTATACCAAATCGAGAGATAAGCAACGCGACATTGCAACGAAATATCGTTGGTACACCGATATTCTCAGCGTCACCTTCCTCATTTGCAGCGGGTAGAGCTTCCAGCAAGCCACTGGGCAACCCGCTTTCTTTAGAAGGTTTGAGTCCCAAAGAGTTTCCATCGATGTCAGCTCCGCCTTCTGTTGCCTTAAGCAAAACACTCAATTGGACTATAGGCACAACAATACCACCCGAAGGTTCTGGCTTGAGAGAATCTTCAATAGCATCTACATCTATACCACTGAGGATTAAGAAGGCTGCAGGCGAAAGTTCGGAAGATTACAGATTTGATGAAAATGGTACTTCATCGCCTTTGTTGCTTAGGCAGATCAGCGACGTGCCATCAGAATTTCAAGGCTCTAGTTCAGGGTCATTGGTAGCGGGAAAGACTGAGAATATGGAACCCCAAAGTCCGGGAACGATCAGAACCGTTACACGTATGCCATTAGCATCAGAGAATGTCAACTATATTTCACCAGAGAATGCAAGACTTCTCGAGACACTCAAATCGGCGCCGGTGACACCTGAAATGTTCAAACAGGTCAGATCGGAGATCATGAGCCTTATCCAAACGAGCAGCCCTGAGAAACTACCAATTGTGTCCGAGAAGGAAATCGAGCATACGCCGGAAGTTTCCAAGTCTGAACAGAGCGTGATCTCTTCTCCTGTTGCCCCCGAAGAAACCGCTTGTGAGTCATCAGACGACGATGGCCAGGAAGAAGGCGGCTGGCCTATGCCATCGTTCAGGAAGAAAACCCACAAGAAAAAATCCGAGAACATGTGTCTCGTTCCTGTGATCACAGTCACCGAGGTGGTCGAAGCCATCGAATCAGAGCATGTGCAGCTGGGGTCTGTGCCATCGAAGGTTGGAGATGACAATGAAGAGTCATCTGAAACTACCAAACCGGCTTGCCCACCACTGATTCTCAAGAAAATCGAGGGACCAGAGGTAATAGCGGCCAGAAACTTTGCGAACGAAGTAATTTGGGAGAGAAGATTGGAGCAAGGATGGCAATATCTTATCGAGAAGGGAGAACGTACCGAGAGACAAAATGCAGAAAAGTTGCTAGATTGGTTATGGGAAGACGTGGAGGTAGAGGAGGAAGTAGAGATCGAGGAGCTTGACCTTAACGTGGCTCTCTTGAAGAAAGAGATTTTTAAGATCGGCAGAGATTGGTTCTTCGAGCATCTGGCTCTCGAGGAGCAGAATGAAAACTGGGGTGTTGGAGCAGCGCGTTAAAGATTATGAAACTTAAAATTCTAACATAATACCGGGTGGAACTTATTTATGAGCTTAATATAGAAATCTACACTCTTGCATACCTAGATTCGATTTTCTGATGCATTTCGTATCTTGTGGAGAACTTGTGCATGTGTGACCACTGTTACGATGCTGTCGAAATATGAAAAAGATGATTGGCACCGATCTTCGGGCTTGGGGACCTCTTTGTGGACCGTTGTCTCCCAGAGCGGCACTCGTCTACTAGATTGGTTTGGCACTAGCCGTTGCTTAATATCATGCACATAGGTATACCACGGAAATCTTCAAATATTAATACCATCCTCAACTATCAGAGTCAAATTTGGCGGCGCACTTTTACAGGCTGGGCTGCACGATAGTATCACTGATAGTGCGGTGAGCCGTTAATTTGCCATGCGATCAAATCGATGGAAGCCAATTAGCAATTCGGTTACTGCTGAAATGTGGTAGATGTACACGTGACTACGAGGTCCTGAAATAGTTTTGTTGCATATCTTAAAAAGTCGCAAAGTTGTGCGAAGTTCATCGTTGATTTTAGCTCCAAAATTTATAAAAGATACATCGACTGGGAATAAGAGCAATTTGGGGAATTATTTCCGGAGTTCTCATGTCCGTGTTGTGAAGATAATTGGTCTGTGCTCAATATCAATTCTCCTCCTTCCCTTGAACTGTCTTCATCCGATCATTGTCCACTTTGAGATCTTCAATTGATAGAAGATTTGCTGGATTACTGTTATTAAGCTCCAGGTCTGCTCGTGGATTGATGTTACAAGCGTAATCAATATGGTGTTGAATCTACTACGGAATTTTACTTGACGTCTTTTACGACGAACGCGTTGCTACGACTGTGGCATGAAACATACAAAATTCGCAGCTAGTAAGTTCTACGGGTTGGAATACAAGCATGATACAAATATGGTCGAAAATCTCGAGGAACTCAAAGAATGACGCTTCATTTCTTTATGGTTGTGGTAATTAGTGTCTACCCCCGTATTGTTCTTTCTCTCCTCAATAATAACTTCTGTTCCCTTTCTTTATTCCTAGCTCGGACTGCAAACGGTCTTCTTTCAGTACTTGGTCATGAACTTTCATAACCTCGTTCTTGAAAGAAGTCAATCTGATACAATTTCAAGCGGAAATTGAGGACCCTGTTATTCAAGTTTCTCGTATGTACGATTTACAGCAAGACATTTGTGCCAAATCCCTTCCAAGATGGCTGGTCTTCAAAGTCAATTCAAGGTCGTTTCGACCACCGAATATTTAGGCACTACAGTTGAGGTCCTTGAAGGAGATTTGTTGAAATATCCGGTCGATGTGATTGTCAATGCTGCGAATGTTAGGTTGAAGAGGGGAAGTGGTGTTGATGGAGCGATTCATGCCGCAGCTGGTCCAGAACTTCAACCTGAAATGGACAAGCTATTTCCGCATCCAGGACAAGTGGGTAAAGCTTATGGGACGACTCATGCTTTCGATATCAGCTCTTGCAGATATATTATCCACGCTATTGGTCCGAATTGGAATACAGTGAACCAGCGAGACGGAACACTTTTGTTGAACGCTTTTCGGAATAGTCTAGATCTTGCGATGGCTAACAAGCTGAGATCGATTGCGTTTCCTGGAATTTCAATGGGGATTTTTGCAATGCCAAAAGATCTAGCAGGATTAATGATAATTACTGCCATCAGAACATGGATCAAGGAACACCAGGGAGAAATGGATCGCATTAGTATATTGCTACTTGGGTACTCACAAGATGATATAGTAGAGACACAGTTGCACGAAATCACTCAATATATGCCAGATACAGGTTCTGGTCTGGACAAACTCGTACCTGCAGCTTTCAGAAAGAAGCCAAATGCTACTACAGCACCAGGACCTCTTCCAATCCCGACAGCCAGTGGGTCTCTACCGAACCCGAACTTGCCCAATCCTTTCCCTGAAGATTCGGTTCCAGTTGAGACTCCAGATCCTGTGACTGACCAATCAGAATCACCAACACCTCCTCCACCTGGCCCTCCTCCACTTAGCCCTCCTCCACCTAGCCCTCCTCCACCTAGCCCTCCTCCGCCTGGACCTCTTCCGCCTGGCCCTCCTCCTCCGCCCGTTCCTCCTCCACCTGGAGACCCAGCTGCACCTCCCCCAAGACCCGAAGGCGCGCGTGCTGAGACTCCAAGCGATTCCGAAGATGAACTACCCAACTACCTTCTTAAATTCTACGAACCCCTGTCACACATGTGGATGGGAAGAGATCGTTATTACGCTTTATTAGAAGCGGGGATTGACCCCAAAACGTTCTACGAAGGAATGATCATTCCCGATCCCGAAGAAGATCCCAATGTAGATCCCCTCATTGGCGAAGAAAGAGATTTCTGGAGGGAATACAACGCTGAAAGACTTCGCCGAGGAAGAGAAATCAGCCAGGCTTTAGGATTACCAATAACGGCTGCAGAAACGGCGGATGAGGATGCCGGGGCCTTGAAAACCGCTCGAGATAAGAGTATATCTCTTACACAAGGACTCATGAAAACAAAAACTGCAGTGCGCGATGAAATAATTATAAATGAGGGGACAACTAATTGTACTGCTCTTACAGAAAGTGGGTTCCCATGTCGTTTTCGTGGCTATACTGCGATATGGCGCAAGCATAACGTTCCAGATCGGTGTACTTTACATCAGGATCTGGAGAAATTTCCGCGGGCTTAAATGGAGAGTCAAAGTGAGGGAGGAACAACTCAATGTGTTAAGGCTACTGGGGTTTTAGTTAGAGGAGAGATTTTTTATTAATAGCTTGGCTTCAACTATTTTTTTGGATAGACGATTAATCATGTTGGTTTGAAACCAGATGTTGTGTCGTTTTCTTTCTTACCTTCCTCACCCTTCGGTAGAAGAAGATGTAATGTGACTCTAGTATTTAGGTTAGATAGTGTTTCCGCAAGGCCAAAATCACAAATATCTCCAACAACAATTAAGATCGCGCGAGCGCAGAGATCATCTAGATTCCCTAAAATCCAAATCATGGAGGTATCGAGTGATGCACAATTGTGAAAATAGTGAGGAACGTTAGAACTATGAGTTTGAATATCTTTCTACATTATTTAGCAACGCCAATTTCTTACCTGAAAGACAGTCCCATGAAAATCCCAAAGACTATTCCCTTCTGATGCTGTAACTTTTTACCCTGAATCTACTATGTGAGTTTAAATCAAATTGTGAACAACTAGCAGACATAGAATCTGAAGTAATGTTATTTAACAAAGATCACTAAGAGTATTTCAAATACCTCATATCTCCATTTTCCAAGTAATCATCAGATCCCCAAACCCAAACTATCCATCACATAGAACCACACATGCATACAGGATGTCACTCTCCCTCTCTCACAGAGCCATCTCCTCCCCCATCCCCCCTCCCACCCAAACTAAATCTCGTACCTGCAGGTACAAAGCCGCATGTACCCCCCTGCCCAGCAACCAACCACAACCCCCTCGCTTAAATCTCCTCGCACAAAACCCTGGAACTCCACTCCACAATCACAACGGTAACGGCCAACCCCACTCACCACCACCCATCAAAGTTCAGACTCATAAAATTTTTCTCCCCGACGGATTCCCCTACTGCATCCGCGGAACCCTTCTCCGTCTTCATGCATGCATGCATTGTGGCATCCACATGTCATTCATTTAATTTACTTTCCAGATCTAGATCGCTCATGCGGGTTTGACACTATGAGAGTCAATCTTTATGAAGAGTCTTATTGGTTCTTCTTGATTCCGCTTGTGGTTCTTCTTGATTCCGCTTGTGGTTCCTCTCTTCGCCTGTTCGCGCGTCTGTTCGTATGCGTATATGTATGTACGATAAATATGCATTACAAAATCATAAGTGGGAGAGAAAGAAAAACGTCTCCGGTGCAGCAGTTATGTGGGATATAGGCAATCTTGATGTTGAGTATCTTCCTGATCTATTAGATCCGAAAGACACATAGATTGGGATGTAGGGGATGGATGTTTATTGTATTCTAGACTATCCCTTGTATCTCTTCGCATTCTCTCTATTCACCTTTTCTTCTAACATATTATATCTACCATACACCTCTAAAATTCATAACCCTCCCCTCCATTCCATTCCATCCCTCCCGAAACAAAATCCAGAAACACAATCCAGAAAAAATCTCTTCATCCCCAACAAGCAGGCAAAAACCAAAGAGCCTATCCACTAACCACATCTATACTGACTGCACTACTCCACTCCACTCCACTCCACTCCACTCCATACGAAAGCAATAGCCAGCTACTCCAGAACTAACTAATTCTTTCCTCCACAATTTCCATGAATAACAAACTCCATCATGAATCATGATTCATGATTCATGAAATAGGCGTCCCATCCATAATCTATTCCCTGATACAGGCTAAATACCTCGTCCCCCTCTCCGCCCCACTCCCCCTAACTAAAATTCTTCTCTACCAAACTTCAACGTTCCCTCTTCCCTCCCCTCTCCCCTAAATCGCTAGTATACTCAAAAACCCACCAACTAATCAAGCATTCACCGTCCCTTCAGAAGCACAAAACTTGATGAATGACATGACCTATGACACAATAGTATCAAATAATATGACATGATACGAAAGTGTAACCTGTTGTGACTGAGATTTTCATATTGTCTTCACGTGAACAAATACTCTCTGCGCAAGGCAGAGCATCTAGACAAGAGGACTTTGGATCAACATCTTCCATTCAATTGTATTATACTAGCCTACCTTCATCATGTTAAATGCCACAGCACGCGACTGCCACATTCAACATACCCAAATACACCGGTAGAAATGCACACATACCAACGACTCCCTTGACCTCAACCAACAAACTCCACTCCACATCGATCCACCCGACTCAACTCCATCAAACCCGTCACAAAATGCGCCAATCCTCATCCCCAGTTCCATTGTTTCTCCTCAAACCATTGTTCAATCCACACCTTCGACCGTTGCGTACTCCCAATGTTCCCGCACTTCTATATTTTGAAATGCAATTCTAAATTGTTAGGCCGTCAAAGTACAACCATGAACCCGTTCGATAGTCTCATTAGTTGCCCGATCCTTTCTCGCAGTCTAAAATGTGCCTCCCATACTAAACACCAAAATGTCAAATGAATCAACCGCCAAATTACGCCCGCTATAGACAGAGTAAAGCAAATAGCACAAGAAACACATAGGAAAAAACTGAAATCGAAAGGCAAATAACTTGTAAAGCAATGGTACTGTTACGTAAGATACCTTGATGATATAAGCGGATTCGTCTCTACTACGTTGAGCGCTCGCCATCCTGGATAGTGTCTACCGGCGGGTCTTAAGTAGTTTGTTAGCTAGAGATCGTAATGAGAGGCTTAATTCCCAATTACCATAATCAAGAGCACAATACTCCCAATCAACAAAAGAGCAGTTATAATGAGCACAACTCCTCGGTGCACCCAACCAAGCTTTTCATTCCGACATGCCATGCAAATCAATCCACCGGCAGCCAGAGCAAATCCTAACAAGGCACCCGTGAGTGCACCCAAGTCAACTTCCGTTCTTAACTTATGTCGACCTGTTGCAAGGAGAAGTGTGGATGCAGCTTGAGAGAGCATCGAAAAGAAAAAGCAAGCAATCATTGTAAATAACAAGGTTTGTTCTTGGAATCGACTCAATCGCTGATCCGCCACGCTGGGGAAAGTTGCATAATGAGCAACATATCCATTCGGAAAATCTGCCGAGGAGGCATACGCTTCGTCTTCGACATCGGTTATCGAACCATTGGCTGTTCCGCTTGGACTTTGTTGAAAGTATCCTCTATCTCGATTTCCCAATAGTGGCTCACGTTCGCGATTTTTTGTTAAACCGGGAGGTATAAACCAACCCCTAACTTTTCCCATTCCTTCTTTTGTTCGTCGAATCGCACTTGCTACAACTTCTGCGCCAGGAAACGTCATTTCCGCATTAGGATCCGTATATATATAGTATGGCTCGTCCTGATCGACATCACTCCCGTTGTCGTATTCGTTCCAATATGTTTGTCGAGGCGGCGATCGCTGTAGTGTTTGTGATGGGGCACGGCCGAGACTGTCTCTCCTCGAACCCATACTAGGAGTAGACGGCCCGCTCGTCAAAGGCGTAGAAGCACGGATAAGCGTGATGAGATCGTTATATTGAGAATGTAAGGAACCAAAATCTTGTCTTGTGAAGCTTTTTGGATTGCCCAATACCTCAACTTCGAATCGTTCCTTGAGTCTCCGAGATCCGGTCCATTTCTAACGACATCAAATAAGTTTATTGCATTATCAATTTTACATGTAATTGTCCATACCGTATATTTCTTCAATAATTTGTAGAATGCGATACGTTGGGCTTCAACAAATCGATCCAATTTCGCAAGATCGTCTCCGCAATTCTCAATCTGCATGTTATATTTGGAAAACTTGTTCATCCGCTTCCTCGTCATCTGCCCATTGGAGCTTTCTGCACATCTTGCAAGTAATCGCAGGACGATAGTCGATAAATATTCTGTTGTTCAATTATTAGCATGCATTGACTGGTAATAGTCTCAAATTGACCCTCTACATACGGAGTCTGCGACCAATCTCCTCACTCTTGCTCTTAACAAACAGTTCGACCCGATCGTGTTGGTTTGATAACTCTGTAAAGAATTCATTCTCGAATGCGACCAAGGAAGTATCGACATGACCCGGAATAGTGATCGATTTTCCAGAATCTCTTGTGGTATTGTGCTTTATCGAATTCTTCAATTCATCATAATCAAGGTTGTCTAATCGCAGAGCGAGAAAGCTGTGTGTCAGTACAGATCTGTGTCATGATATTTTCGCTATCACACCAATAAGACGAGATTGTTTCACACTCACATGGCGCCCATTGTGGCACAGAGTCCGACTGGAATTGTTGACCGTACTTCATTCCCACAATGTACTCGTCCTGGAAAGCTACTCAAGCAATTGTTTCCCTTTTATAAGGTAATGGATTCGAGGTGTTTAGGATTCCTTTGTTCCTGACCAACTTTTATGTGCGGGTAATAGCGGTCCTGGTGGAGAAAGTTGGAAATTTAATCCGCAATGATATCCGCAATTGCAAAAGAAAGGTACAAAGTACAATTAATGTACAGGAGAGTGGATACGAAGATCCAGACCAAGCTGTACAAGAATCCGCTTGACACCTGATGCGTCGGTTATCTTTAGGAAGAAAACCGAAACGAATGAAAAAAACGAGAATTGATAAGCTTTATAAGGTTGACAGTGCCAAGGGTCCCGGGGAAAGCTGAATGCAGTAACTGGAGCAAGCAGTAGTAACAAGGTCAAGCAAGAGCTGCTTCACAAGATATATATTATATCTAGTGTAAGTTGTATGAAAGCAGGCGAGTGAGTGTAATGAGTTGGAGCTGATAATTATTTCTTTCAATAACTTTGAGACACTGATCATTTAGAGTGAGCTTAAGATACGGATCAGACGATATCCTCTAGTGTTAACTGCCACCAATACGGATAGGGCAGCAGAGATAGCAAAGATAGCAGCGATAAACTAGAGTTTGAGGGCAGTGGGTGACTTTGATGGTGTGAAATATTGTAATATAAGACTGTAGAATACGAATCATTGAATCTTTTATGGAAAATTATATTGAGAATCGAAAATTTGAATTTGTTAGAAATCATCAGCCGGACATCCGCGGAGTCGTTTCTCCTGCTCGAATGAGTTTCCTTTCTTGTCCTTTCGTTATCCTTCCCTTTTCCTTTCCTTTCCTTTCCTTTCCTTTGCTTTCCTTACTTCTCTACAAAAGGGTGGCTCGGTGGATGTCTGATGTCTTCATATCAGCGATACCATGCATATGCACATGGAAGGTCTGCGGAGTATGTACTCTATGTACCCGCAGGGTTGGTTTCAATTCTGTTCCTTGATTGGTGCGCAGATATCCAACGAATTAGACTCCCAGATGCAGCTGTGATTAATATCTCCCGCTATACGAGTACCCCCCCCCCCCCGAGGCCCCGTCTCGTTGTACATTCACCGTACAGCTGCGCCGAAAGAAGGGTTCAATGATGTCCAATGCCGTGTTGCTTCCTAGGTAGGTATCAATGGTGGTACTTGAAATGAAAGTACTACTGAAAAGACATATTCCTTGCAAGTGAAGAAGAAAATTTTGTTTATTTTATTTTAATTTTTACACAACCTTGTTATCAATGACCAATGAGCTTGTCAAGTTGACAGGAAGTAGATTTTGCGATTGCAATAGCTTGTCCGGTTGGTCTAGATGTTCAGTGGGAAAGTCAATCATGATACTAGAGGTATTTAATACATGTAATGTCAAGATAGACAATTGGTTTTAGATCCTGCACGCCTGCAATAGCAACACGATCAATAGTGCCTATAGATGGATCATCGTTGGATCAATGTTGGACGCGAATGATTGGGTACGAGATAAAAGTAACTTTAGTTTGAGAGTTACCGATTATCTCGGAATTCTGAGATCTGAGATCTATCCTACCGTTTTTTCCTCATTATCCGGATACCTAGGAATCAGAACCATCAACTCTTCCCATCTCATCATAGAAATAGATCGTATAAAGTGTTAACTATCAGATTTCACTATAATAATTGGCTTCTCAATAGTTAACAAAATCCACCCAGCATTGAAACAAGGGAGTATGAATGACATAGACTCACTGCTATTGGTAGACATTCATCCGTATACATGCAACGCACTTATTTTCAATTTAGCCAGTGGCCCGAGTCATAAGCGAGCACGCTTTTTAGGAAGTACATATCTGGATTTGATGGTATGCTGTTGGCTCATTTCAATGTATTGATGTGGATTTCTTACAACAGGAAACTTGTGCGAATGCTACATGCCATCTTTAGTATAGGTTCCGCGCCCCCGATATATCTAGGTGTCTACTCTTTCTAGATTGACCCCCAAGAAGACTCTGGCAATCTCTTCTCGTATGCTCAATTACCAAATATCGTTCGACTATCAAGATCCTAATTAACCGGCCGACCCCCTCATTTTCAGTAAATTCTATTGCCCCTCAATATGTTGTGATTTCATATCGAGTCGTGAAACTAGAAAATCAGAATAAGATACCAAAGTGGATGACAATTGGAGATGGCGACGTGACCTTCCTCTCTTACCCACAGAGAATTCGGCTACCAGTTCATAAGAAGAAGAGCGAATACGAAATCGCAACACACATCAAGTCATATGGTTGACAAATCCTCACGAGAAGCAACATCTAGAGATTGTTCTGGACGCATGGAACCCCCACACCTTTCAAGATTTTGAGATTTTCACATGAAATATATTCTTTTGGGCGACGTGCATGTTCAATGTTTGAAGGTTTCGTCTGAAATCCCGCCGCAATGTTGTACAATGGGTCCGTCTAGAAGCAGTAATAGTGCACGCGAGTGGTTTCAAACCCTTCAACGTCGTGCTATGCTATTGCACAAAAGATGCCAAATATGTGCTACATGCCTTCATCAACACAACAGATGTGTTACGGTCGTACACAGTCAGCCATTTATTGAAAAGAACACTATGGAGTATCCGATTTCGCATGCAGCGTCAGGCACGATAAATCGGGTAACGAGTTGAGGAAGGTGTTGATGAGGAATAATACATGCAGGTTATTGTACATTTTTCAGTTGATGGAACTGCGGCAAATGGGCCAGAAATGCAAATTGTGAAAACGGTCTTCAAGGGAAGCTTGTGAGAATGCATTGCGCAAACTAAATCAACTTTGACGTTGGAATACTCACCTCTATCAATCACTTGATCGACAAATGTATGGGTGAGAATGAGATTCCTGCTTTGGCAACATGAAGCTCAAATTATGTTGAGGAAGAAGGAAAGTCATCAGACATGTCTAGCAAATTGCACTGAAGTACTTAATTAACGAGTTTCACGTGACCGTTATCGGAGTCGTGGAAAATACACTAGTCTTATCGTAAAAAAAACTTCAAAAATGTCAAACAGTAAAAGACTGAGAGAGCCAACGATGGAGACAGCAGGCAGTATTACCTCCTCGACGACATCAACTTCCCACACCATGACTGCCTCCCCGCCCAGCAAAGTTTCCGCCGCCAAGATTAATCAAAACGGCACAAATGGATCAAGCTCAATTGAGGATTTAATAGCTGCGCTTGCCTCGACCAATCGTCATACTTTTATTGCGCCTTCATCGAAAATACTCAATACCAGTTCGGATTTTTCAAAAGAGACATTGGACAGATTTGCAGGGAAAATAGGAGATGAGCAAGCTACAAGATTGAAAGAGCAGAGAAGAAAGAGGAAGAGGGGCGATAAGGATGGGGCTGAGGAAGAAGTATTGAAGATTAGAAAAATACATACCCAAGGATTTGAGGCTCAGCAAGTTTTCGAACAGGCTAAGAGAGTTGTTGATGCGCTAAAAGGAGAGGTGGCAAGAGGTCTCGAAGAGCTCGGGATTGGCGGAGATGAGAGTGAAGAAAGTGCAGACGCTGGAGAGGAGGGGTCCGATACGATGAATTTTGATGAGGATGGATTCGCAATTGGTTCAGATGTTGAAGGCGAGGAAGGAGATGAGGAACAGGAATTTCACACGGATTCGGAGGACGAAAATGACGGCCAAGATGACGGGGAGGCTTTCGAGGGCTTCGGAGAGGAGGATGACGAAGAAGACGAAGAAGAGGATGAGGAGGACGAAGCTGGAGTATTTGTCGAGGATCCAAATAAACTCAACGACGGTTTCTTCTCAATCGACGAATTCAATAAACAAACGGAATTCCTCGAAAGGCAGGATGCCTCAGCAGATCCTTATACTGGAGAAGCAAGTGACGAAGAGGATATTGACTGGGGCACCGATCCAATGTCTATGCCAATTAAATCAGATAAAGGATCCAAACGTGCGAAAGCCATGGATGTTTCAGACGTAGAGGATGACGAAGAGGATGGGCCAACATTTGGCAACATGGATTTGAATGCACCTGAAGGAGATAGTGACGACGACGACGATATGGATTTGGACGAAGTTGCTGATGTAGCTGATGACAATACAAATGACATTCTCTACAAAGATTTCTTCGCACCTCCGCCAAGAAAAATCGGCAAAGGAGAACGACAAGCAAACTACCTTGAAAGACAAGCTAAAAAAGCAGCTAAAAAAGCACCCGAAGAAGATGAAGCTGCTATGGAACGAGCCATGGCTGACGTTCGACGCGATCTATTTGATGACGAAGACGACGCCAACTCGGAAGATGCCCTCTCAGATCTCGACCCCGCAGATCCTAAATCCCGTCGTTCAGCTCACGAACGTCGTCAAGCCAAAATAGGCGAAGAAATCCGTCGTCTCGAAGCCGCATCCGTCGCAAAACGTGACTGGACACTAGCAGGAGAAGCAAAGGCTCTCGATCGACCCATGAACTCCCTCTTGGAAGAAGACCTCGATTTTGAACGTACCGGCAAACCCGTTCCCGTCATCACAGCCGAAGTGAGCGAAAGCATCGAAGAACTCATCAAGAGACGTATCCTCGCCCAAGAATTCGACGAAGTCATTCGTCGTCGTCCTGATTCGCTAACCCCTGCCAATACCCGCCGCGGCCTTTTCGAACTCGACGATTCGAAAAACCAACAGAGTCTCGCGGAAATCTACGAGGAGGAACATGTCAAAAACACAAACCCAGATACATACGTTAGCGCCACGGATGAAAAACTCCAGGCCCAAGAAAAAGAAGTCGAAAATCTCTGGAAGGATGTCTGTGCTAAACTCGACGCTCTCAGCTCTTGGCACTACAAACCCAAACCCGCAGCACCGAGTCTCACCGTCGTGGGCGACGTCGCTACAATCAGTATGGAAGATGCTCAGCCGTCTACAGCTTCTGGTATCGCGGGAGCGGAATCGAGATTGGCGCCTCAAGAGATCTATAAGGCTGGACAGGTGGTCGAGGGCATGAAGAAAGATAATAAGGAGATTACACGGGGTGGCGCACCCGTTGCGCGAGAGGAAATGAGCAGAGAGGAGAAACTGAGGAGGAGGAGGAGGGAGAAGGAGAGGATTAAGAAGATGGGTGAGGGTGAGAAGGTGCTGAGTAAGAAGGCGAAGGAGAAGAAGGATGTGGTGGGTGAGTTGAAGAGGGGTGGTGTCAAGGTTATTGGAAAGAGAGGTGAGATGAGGGATGTTGAGGGGAAGAAAATTATGGCAAGTGAGGTTGTTACCGGTGGTGGTGGCTTTAAGTTGTAGATTTAAATTAGTGGTTGTGTGACACATACAGCAAGTGTGTTGGGAATGTAATATCGATAACTTTGTAGTTGAATACCAGGAAAATTGCGATTGTCACTGGAGGGACACAAAACGGACATATTGTATCGCAAAAAGTATTACATGTGTCAGATATACAACTGAAATGGTTTCGCTTATGGAAAAAATATAAATCTTCTACATCTACCTCTTCGCCGTTCCATTCTCCAACTTCTCCATCTCTTCCAACTGCTTCCCTTCCAAACCTGCAGGTCTCTCAAGCTCCACATAATCTCCCATCTTCACATCACCCTTTACCTCTCCCATAACTACAGCACTATCTCTAATCACCTCTCCCCCAATATTTCTTTCCCACCCCCTCGCTTCTACGCTCAACGGTCTCCACCAAGTCTCTCCCTCTCCCTGTCCACCCCTAGCATGCCACCTCCCGCCACACATTTCCCACAACCTACTCGCCGCTCTCTTATACGCAAACCTCTCATCTTCTCCCGTGAAACTTTCCGTCTTCGCAAAATCCACTCCTCTCCTCCTCCCAATCTCATTTCCCGCTCCGGGAACTGATCCAAAATCCGCATCTTCATCGGGATCATACCCCGTTTTGGCGCTAGGAGTATCGGTATACGTAGAAATATTTGGTCGGAAGGGAGATGTTTGATCCTGGTAGATTTCAGCGAGGGTTTCGGGGTATACTGCATCTTGAGGATTTTCGGATTCGGATTCGGGATCCGAGGAAGGAGACAGCTTGGTTTCGGGGAAGAAAAGAGTATCTGGGCCAGTGGCGGCGCGAATTATGAGTTTGCATCGGGCTTCGTAGAGAGCGTCAAGGAGAGTGATAAGGCGTCTTGCTTCATTCTTTTGGAGGAGGGTTAAAATTGGCACATCATCGATGATGAACGTGTGAAAAGTAGATGCCATAGTTATGTAGTCTGCGGGACCAAAAGCACCACCACAGAGAGTGGGAAAGTCCCAGTATGTTATACCGTTAAGATGGCGAGCGACAGGAACTGTACGACCGTAAACTAAGAGTGTGGTTGATTGCCATGGAATTGGATCTGGAGAGGACGGGAAAGCTGATTTCACCACTTTCTCCCAGGTATCATCACTATCTGAAGCGAGAAGATACTTTTTGGGAGTATTAGCTTTTAATATCTTCTCGGTGGTACTGTCATCATCTTTTTCATGAATACTTTGCTCATATCCAAGTCCAAGATTGCCGGGTGAAAGCTTTTCAAGTCCTGTAAAGCCTTCTATCATTTCCTCTCTCATTATTTCAGACATTTTCGCTGTTTCATCGTCCACATCATCGATTTCTCTTCGTCTCCAATCTCGACCCCCCTTCCCCATATCCCAAATTTCACACCTAGCTTTCAGAACTCCAACAAATCCCGAGAACTCATTCCCACTAGAAAACATGTCGAGTTTCTGTGGCTTAGCTAAGCCTAGCCAATTCTTCACGAGTCCTCCCCTACCAGGCACGGCATAATCCATGCCACTGGCCTTTTCGAGCTCTTCTGGCATACGATTTGAAGATGCAATGAGTACACCACCCAATTGAAAGAATGGTGTCAGAAGATTGCTCAATATTTTACTCGCAGCTCTGTCTGGCAACTGAAATTCGTCCAAAAAGAGTATAGGCGATTTTTCAATCATATCCTTCGCTAGCCAAAGTAGGGAGTAGTCTTCAGAATCCAAATTTCCATGCTTGGAACGAGATTGTCTCAATTGTTCCAGACGTGAGAATGTTTCTAGCATGAACGTATTGAAATGCCATCTCCTTTTCTTATTGTTCGGTAGACTATCCGCTAGCATGTCCAACAACATTGACTTTCCAGTCCCAACTTCGCCATGTAGTAATATACCTTGGGGAGAGTCCAGATTCATTGCTGCTTCATGACTCGTAAGAACTCTAGTCATCGCAAGTGTATCTTGCCGTTCTTTCCGTCTGAAAAGATGAGCAAATAGTGGATTGTTCCTCAAAGGATGACCAGGTACTGCTACCGTCCGACCATCTTCATTATTTTGACCATCGTTGACGGCCTGACTGATTGCTTTGAGTCGAGCTGCATATTCCGACTGAGGTTTATAATCCTTCAACCGCAAATATAGTTTTTGCAAATGTAGAGCTATACGATGTTGAGCTGGGTCGGGGTCAATCACTTTAGTCGCCAGCAGAGCACGATACAATATGAGAGGATTGGTTATGGTTAGCCCTGTGGATTGAGGGAGGTTTGTTGGTGGCATTTGGAACTTTCATGGTCGAGATGAAAGCAAATTGATGGATCTCCATGATAAAATGATGAGGGGTGGAAAATGCAAGCGTCATCGCCGGCACTAAATCGGACGTCACTTTCTTAGCCTTGCTTCTGTGGCTAGAGTATGGCGTCGTACCTGGACCTCCAGGGCTGTCCAGGGGTACCTGTACGTGTGCCTCAGCCTTGTAGTCTTATAGTAGCCTTGCATATCTGCAATTATTATTTTCGCGTCCCTATTGCATTTTTCTGTTGAGATGGATCTTTGGTCAATGGACAATATATCGTTGAATGAGGTCAGATAATTGACTTGGAAGACAACAGCTTGTCCCTAAGAACTATCTGGCAGTATTGGAAGAGGAAATCCGAAAGATAGATAGTCATAATTGGATAAGCTCAAGATGCTAATGCCACACAAAATCAGGTTCTCTGTCTGTGATGCCTGCAGGTGTCTGCAGTGGTTTGCTGACGACGTGCTTTTGTCTCACTGTCGCTAGTCCATTGGAAAACAAATATATTTAAAGGCATGCGCATAAATGGTGAAGAATACGGAATCCAATTGACCCGAATGATTGTCAAATATTTATCTATTGAATCTGTTTTTCATCCAATTCTTTCCAGAAGACATCAGAACGTAGCTGGAGCTTCTCACTGCTGGTCTGGCACGAATAGCAAAAAGTTAAGCCTGAGCCTTGAGGTGTGGTCAGAGCTCAAGGATTAAAACGCGTGCTTCCAAGGTTTCCACCGGTCGCCTTTATTTTCTTTTGGTACCTCTTGCCGTGTTCAATTGATTTTTTGATTTTGGATCCATCCATATCCATGATTGATTGATTTATTTTGGAGCACCTGCCTCCAAACTTTACAAGAAGCTTTTAAAACAAAACAAAACAAAACAAAACAAACACCAACGAGCCACGAACAATCACTTTCCACGAGTTATGCCAACAGCATCATCGATCTTTCTTACACTATAATCTCAATTTCTTAATTCTCATCGACTGATTCAACAAATGTTCTCGCCCACGGTCAACGCTGGCGCTCCTGCTCCAGTACGGAGTAGCAGGAGACGTCCACGCCCGCATTCAAATGAGAATTCAATAGCGCAGCCAAAGAGCAAGAGAGTTAGAAGCTCGTACGATGATCAGACTTTTGCGCCAAATGGCACACCTGAAATGGAGGAAGCAAAAAATAACAAAGTAGCTACTTTGACGAGGCGCGAAAGTCCCAAGGAGGTACCAAGTCAAAGACGAGAAATTGTTGTACGAGGAAAGAAGTCGAAAGGAACGGACAGGACTGGGAAAGGAGATGGCAGTGTGGTTCTTGTGAGTTGTCCAATATCGCATTGTATTGCGAATTTTGGAGACTGATAACTTACATTTTCGGGCAGACCAAAAATGATACTTATACAGTTAGTAAACTGCCAGCGCTCCCAGACCAAATTCGCGCAGACATCACAGGTAGTTACAACTCTTTCAGCGATCTGTAAGTTCATCACTAAATCTATGTTATAGCTCGTCAGCACGGCGCAATATATTCAGACAGCGGTTATGCACTTGCTCTCACCCACTCCCATGCATTCGTGTGGCCCTACGCTATTAACATCTCTTCCCCCGAAACATTTACATTCGCGTTACCTTATAACCACAAGCACATAACCGACCCTCTTCCTCTTGGTTCGCTAGTCTCGCCCTCTGCGTCATCCTCGGAGCCCGGTCTTGTCGTTGTTATACCTACTGGTAAAATCACATATTGGGAGTCTATTGCAAGCGCCGCTACACTTGATCTTATTAAATTAAAAAGCAATGGAGTCGGATCAACTATACCAGGAATGCTCTCCGGAGAAACCGTTGTGCAACTTTTGAATGCGGAAACCGCCGGATTTGTTCTGGCATTCAGTACCGGGCGATTGGCCTATCTACGAGTCAGGGATGGTCATGGAAGACCCGAAGTATCTGTTCAATTCTTGAGAGGATCAAGCGGACCACTGGCAGGAGGTCTTTTTGGTAGTCTCAGAAATGTACTTTCTAGTACAGCATGGCGTGGAGACATTGCCGCCGTTCGCGCCGGACCACAGGAGCATGTAGGAGATCGAAATGTGGTTGTCGCAACAGGAAAGGGAAGAATACAACTTTGGAACCTTCAAAGGGATGGGCAGAATGCTCTTCAGGGGGAAGCTGAAGGGCGGGAAGCCATTGTTCTGGAAATGAAAAGGGCAGAGCCAATCCTATTCGACCTCTCGATAGAAACCTTCGAAGTTCTTGATTTCACCTTTATGCCACAAACACCAGAGGACCGTGACAATGAAGGAGATCGCTTACTTTTGCTAACATCCCTCTCCAATCGATACACCACTCACTACACTCTTGTTGATGTTGTACTTAGGAGGGATCAATTGATTGTAGAAGATGTTCGACTGCTTAAATCTTATACCACCCCAGTCAACAAACATGCGATTTCAAAAGCTCGAATTTATCTACCAAATCCTGCGCTGGTTGCATATGTTGTCTTTGACCGTGCTGTCGTTGTTGTTTCAAGGGCAAAACAAGCTGAATCGCCCGACTCCCAACTTCGCTCTGAAAATCATACACCTTCGCCATCCTTCGAAGATGTGGTAGACTTCAGGGAGGACACCAATGTTGAGATTGTCGGATCCGGCATGGAAGAACCCCAAAATATCCCACATGGAATTGAGGAAGCAAAATCGCTCAAATACAAAGCAAAGCACCCGGCTACTATTCTTCTAGTTCGGGGTGGGGGTGTGATTCGTGTGGCAGCTACCGACGTTGATAAACTCGCATCCAACAAAGGCCAGCAAGTCACTGCGAAAAGCAAGCTGGAACAAGCAGTGTTTTTTGGCACAATGGCGCAAAATCCTTTAAGCTTCGCAGGAAGATCAGAATTTCAGTTCCCTCCGGAAGAAGTTGGAGCTGCAGCTCTGGAATTGAGTTTAGAAATCGTGGCATCTAGGACTCCTTTTATTCCCTCGGTGTCTGCGTCACTCGAACAACATCTTAAGAGGCGATCAACGGCTCTCCATGATCTTGCTAAGCATCTCAAAGCTACTGGCGTGGAAATTGATAGGCTCACGCGATGGAAGCTACTTTGGGATGCAGAGAGAATGTCGGCGGCAACAATTATTTGGCAGCGGTATGATGCTCTTGTTCGAGAATTGCCAGACGACCAAAAGCGTGGACTTCTCGCCGATCTCGTAGATCACATTCATGAGGATCTTAAGACTGAGCCTATTGCTGAAAGAGGCGAAGTCGATCGCGTTCGACATTTCTTTATTCATGATGTTTTTAGATTGGAATTGGCAGTACCATGGGCATTCCAGATGCTCAAGTACGCCTGGACGAATGGCCAAGTTCCTGCTGCTTCAGTGATGGAGACGCTTAGTCAAGCTAATGATGTAATGATCAGCGCATTGGAGGGTGCGTTTGACTTTCGAATGAATAATTTGAGGCTGTATGGGTTACAATCGGAAACAATTTCACATGGAATATTAGAAGAAGGCTACGAGGGACTTCCAGAGTTTTGGACTTCGACCTTCTACATTGCAGAAAATATTCGAAAGCAAACTGACCTTGTATCTACGCTACTTGGAGATTTCTGGAACAAACCTGTTGCAGAGGATGGCCCCAATCCTGCAACCCTCGAGAAAGTTCGACTAGAGCATCCTAATCTTATCGATGTTGCCATTCGATCCAATTTGGAGAGGATACGTTGGGTATCGGCTCAAGACTCACCACAACTTCAAATGCAGGCAGAAGGACTCCAAACCCTACAGTTCGATGCACAAGATAAACAGTTGCAGCGCCTTGCAGATACCTTCAGTCTCCCCGATGAAGCAATGAACTTGGCGGAAAAATACGAAATTCTACAAACCTTGGCAACTGTGCTGATGTATGAGGTCGGCATTTGTGCCGATGGGCTTCGTATTCCGGGCATTGACGAAGAAGACTATGAAAATCTTAAAAGGCGAGAGCAAGACCTCCGCGATCGGATGGACAAGTCTTTTGCAAACTTCGGTGCGAGTTGGGCTGCCGCTCTATATGAGTATTACATTGGCACGGGAGAAATACAACAGATGCTCAATGATTATCAAAATCAGCGCGCATTCCTCACTGCTTTTCTACGTGACAAGCCGGAGTATGCTAAGATCGGTTGGATTCATGAAATCACTCGAGAAAGGGATTATGATGAGGCCGCGAGAATGCTTCTTGAACTTGGATTAGATCGAGAGCGTGATGTCTGGAGCAAAAAGGTCGAACTTAGTATCGGAAAGCTTTCGCGCATGGCCGGCCGCAATTACAGTCAGACTAACGGAATCCTGATTCCTGATGGAGGTGAATCGGAACTTGTCAGAGCAAATCAAGAGCTTGGATTGCTCAAGATTCAGGATCTGATTTACAATTATATATACCCCACCATCAGCACAGCCATTGATGATAACGCAGAAGTCCAGCTTGCTTTAGAAACTCATGGCAACAAGAGTCTGAAACAACAATTTTCTTTTATGAACCTTCTTGAAAGTAGCATCACTCATCTGGTCAAACATGAAACGATGGATGCATTCTGCTTGGTTGATTTACTTACCCTCATGGGTGATAATTTCAGAGCCATGGAACAAGATGACTTCAGCATGAGTAGATTTTATTGGGCACTTGAAGCTATTCGCTTGGGTGTCACAAACAAAGAAGAAAAGTTGCTTATGCAGCGTGTTATTTGGAGACGATGTCTCTTAAGAGATGACTGGGCTGCGATGAACAATACAGAGGCTAAAGACGATCAATTTGTAGAAGATCAGTTAAAGACAACAGCTTTATATTGGACACTTAAAGCCTGCTTCAAGAATCGTAAGTACCAACATTTGACATCATATTGAATTACAAACTAATAATATTTTCAATAGGTATCTTCGAAAAGGATCTCACTATCAAGTCATTAACTCCTGAAGAAGTCCTTGGTGCATGCACAGAAGAGCTAGAACAA